CCCTTCCCTGAGACACAGAGGTTTGATTGTTTGTTTGTTTTTGTTTGTGCTGTGCTGTGCTGTGCTTTGTTTTTCTTCCAATTTAAGTTTATTTTATCCTTGTGTGTGTGTGCGAGTGGGTTTTCGTCTGGGAGAACTGGGCGAGTGAGAGGAACTGCAGGACAGACAAGGCAGGGGACCAAGGTAGGGGCTCGGAAGGGATCCCAATGGCAGACCAGGAGATGGCCTTGGTGGGAGTCACGGGTGTTGCTGTCCGCTGCGACAGCAGCGACATGTTCGCCCTTCTCCCCCAGGAGAGGCAGGGATACACTTGCCCTTGGTGCAAGATGGTGACCCTGCTAGAGGAGGAGGTGAGGTGCCTGAGGGCCGAGAGAGCTCTCCAGGCCCTCCCGGAGTAGCCCCCCTCTGGACAGAGCGTTGAGGGAGAGGCCAAGGGAGGTTTTCTGCCTGCCGGGCGCACACATCCGGCATGTGATGGACAGAGTGGAGCATCTTGTTCACTCCGGGGGTCACCAGTCGCTCCTGGTGATCCATGTGGGCGCAAACGACGTGGCCAGGCAGGGTGTGGCTGGGATCACCAAGGACTTTGAGGCCCTGGGGAAGAAACTCAGAGAGCTAAAGGCCCAAGTGGCCTTCTCGTCAATCTTACCTGTCTGGGGATTTGGACCAGGAAGGGACAGGAGGGCCTCTGAGGTGAACGACTGGCTTAGGGTGTGGTGCCAGAAGGAACGCTTCAGGTTCCTCGACCACGGCACTCGTTTTCTTGCCAATGGACTTCTGGCAAGGGACGGGTTACACCTCACGAGGAAGGGGAACAGGTCCTTTGGAGATGCTCTAGCGAACTTCGTCCGGAAGACTTTAAACTGAGTGGGGGGGGGGTGTTCAGGTCCCCCAGTAACGTGTCTGCATTGGACAAGTGTGGGGGGAGGATCAGGGCTCTGGGAGCAGGTTTTTAGAGGTACTGCAGGGACTGACAGGACTCCTTCAGAGAGGGGCCAGGTATTAGGGAGGATGGGAGGAAGGAGGAGGCTGGGAACTCCAAGGGAAGGAAGCGGTGGGAAGGAGTTGAGGTGCATGTACACCAATGCTAGGAGCATGGGTAATAAGCAGGAAGAGCTTGAAGCTCTCCTGGGAATAGGAGGGTATGATCTGGTGGGAATCACAGAAACTTGGTGGGATGAAAGGCATGTCTGGAATGTGAACATAGAAGGGTATCACCTTTTTAGAAAGGACAGGAAGGGAAAGAGAGGTGGGGGCGTGGCTTCATATGTCAGGGAAGGGATAGGATGCAGTGAGATAGAATGCAGCACAGATGGGGATTCAGTAGAGGCAGTTTGGTGAAACTTAGGGGTTTTGACAGGGAAAGAGACCTGACAGTGGGGGTATGTTATCGTCCTCCAGGTCAACTTGAGACCCTGAATGATGTCCTGAAAGGCCAGATTCTAAGGATATCTTGGGGGCGAGACACAGTAATTATGGGAGATTTCAATCTCCCAGATATTACTTGGGAGACTCACTCGGCGGTGACAGCCAGGTCACGTCGCTTCCTAGAAGCTAATGAGGGAGCGTTTTTCACACAGAGGGTCCGAGAGGCGACGAGGGGGGGAAACATCCTTGACTTGGTCTTGACCAATACGGAGGAGCTGATAGATGAAGTACAGATTAGGGGAGCTCTGGATGCGAGTGATCACTCCATCCTTTGCTTTGAGATCAAGGGACTGTGGACGGGCAGCAGGTCGAGCACTAGAAGCTGGGACTTCAAGAGGGCCAACTTTGGCCAACTGAAGGCCAGACTGGGGAAAGTCTCCTGGGATAGGTTACTGGAAGGTAAGCGAGTTGAGGAGGGGTGGATGGTACTCAAAAGGGAGGTTTTGGAGGCACAAGCCTTGACGATACCTCTAGTCAGTAAGGTGGGGAGGCGAAGGAGAGTGCCGCCATGGATGCAAAAGGAGGTGGTTAGAGGGATTAGACGAAAGAGGAACCTCCGTAGGAAATGGGTACTGGGGGAAATAGACAAAAGGGTATAACAGGAGGAGGAGGCCCGTTGCAGGAGGATTCTTCGCAAAGCTAAGGCTGATTATAAGCTGAGACTTGCCAAGAATATCAAGAGCAATAAAAAGGGCTTCTTTCAGCATGTAAATAGGAAGAGGAAGGGGAGACAAGTGGTGGGACCACTAAATAAGGAGGAAGGAGATCCAGTGACTGATATGAGGGAACAGGCACAGATGCTAAATGACTATTTTGCCTCTGTGTTCTCCCCAAAGCAGGACGGGGGATATCCGCATAGGAGATTAGATGATGCTGGGGACTTAGGGGCACAGATTAGAGTCACCCCCCTTGAAGTCGAGGGGCTCCTCAGGGCATTGGACATTGCAAAGGCGCCAGGCCCTGACGGGTTACACCCGAGAGTACTTAGAGAGTTGGCAGTGGTTCACTCATGCTCGCTGGCCTCCATTTTTGAGACCTTGTGGAGAACGGGTGAAGTTCCAGAGGACTGGAGGGTGGCATCAGTGGTCCCAATTTTCAAAAAGGGTAGTAGAAGGGACATGGGGAATTACAGACCTGTTAGCCTTATGTCCATTGTAGGAAAAACAATGGAAAGGCTCATAATAGAGAGAGATCTAGTGATGCTAGATAGGGAAGGGAGGCTAGCAGCCACACAACACGGCTTCCGCAAAAACAGGTCCTGCCAGACAAACCTTGTGGAATTCTATGAGAAGTTTTTGAGATGGCTAGATGGAGGGGATTCAGTGAATGTGGTATACCTGGATTTCAGCAAGGCCTTTGACAAAGTGCCCCACGATATCCTGGTGGAGAAACTGAGGAGTTTTGGGATACACCAAAGCACTGTCCGGTGGATTAGGACATGGTTGACTGACCGAAAGCAGAAGGTAACCATTAGCGGGGAATCATTGGGATGGCGGCCAGTGACAAGCAGGGTCCCCCAAGGCTCTGTCCTGGGGCCGATCCTGTTTAATCTTTTCATTAACGACATGGAAGAAGGGGTGAACAGTCTGCTGATCAAATTCGCAGACAACACTAAAACTGGAGCAGTGGCCACAACTGAGGAGCAGGTACTCCAGATCCAAAAGGATCTGGACAGACTATGGAAGTGGGCAGGAGACAACAGGATGTTGTTCAATGTGGATAAGTGCAAGGTCTTGCACTTGGGGCATAGGAATAGGTGTCATAAGTACAGGTTAGGTGACAAGTGACTGGAGAGCAGCACTTGTGAAAGGGACCTCGGGGTACTGGTTGACTGCAGGCTAAACATGAGTCAGCAGTGTGATGCGGTGGTCAAGAGGGCGAACGCCACCCTTGGTTGCATAGCCAGAAGTGTGGCTTCTAGATCAAGAGAGGTATTACTACCACTCTACACGACTCTGGTGAGCCCGCAATTGGAGTATTGTGCTCAGTTTTGGGCCCCTCATTACAGAAAGGATATAGCCAGGTTGGAGTCAGTGCAGCGTAGGGCCACAAGGTTGGTGGCCGGTTTGCAGGGGATGCCGTATGAGGCGAGACTGAGGGAACTGGGTCTCTTCAGCCTGGAGAAGAGGAGACTCAGAGGGGATATGTTGGCGACATACAGGTATGTGAGGGGATGTCACACAGAGATGGGTAGAGACCTGTTCTCCCCTGCAGAGGAAGGCAGGACGCGCTTCAATGGAGCAAAGCTCAGGGAGCCAAGGTTCCATTTGGATGCCAGGATGCACTTCCTGACAGTTAGGACCCCGAGGGTGTGGAATGGGCTTCCAGGAGAGGTCGCTGAGGCCCCATCGGTGCGGGTGTTCAAGGATAGGCTGGACATCCACATGGTGGGCATGTTGTGAGTGGAGCTGGCTGGTGCTGGAAGTCAGACTAGATGACCCGGGAGAACCCTTCTGACTCGCTCTGTTTCTATGTTACTGCAGTTGGGACAACTGTGAGTGTTACTGGGGGAAAGGATATATAATAGAATATATGAAGTAGGACGTTGTCTGTGGCACCCCACTGATTCTCAAGGTCATGGCATTGCAGCAAGAAGGTCCTTGACTGGGCCCAGGGAGCAGTGTGAGCAGGGAAAACGATCTGCGAGGCAGGGGGGCCATTGGAGACCCTGTATACTGCTGCAATGCAGCCAGGTCTCACTTGCCAGGTCAAAGCACTAGGATATTCCAAGCAGCAAGGATGAAGATGCGACCTGCTGTGCTCCTCAGACCTCCCTGTTTCCTTTGGGCTTTCCCAAATTTCTCACAGTGAGATTGGGGTGGACAGATAAACTTTCTCACCACCACTCTACACTTGTGAGCTGTCCCTGCTGTAACGCAAACTCTTCTGGGGTGGTCTGGTCTTCAGTGGGTGATGAAGACCCAGCAGCCTTACGAAAGACCTGCTCTGGGTGGAGAAAAGAACTGTCTGAACACAGCTGCCTGTGTTTTTATACCCTCCTCTGGGCCCAGGCTATGGGGGCTGCCATGATGTGCACCTGCACTTCAAAATTCACCACTACGCCACTGGGAGCCCCACGTAAGGAGGAGATATATTTAACTAAAAAAGGTCAACCTTGAGCAAGGCCATGGAAAGGAAAGGATGGGCTGAAGAAACATCACACTGAGGAACAAAATTGGTGGGGAGAACATGAGACATACCATAGTGAAGGTCGGTGGGTGATTGAGAGCAGTGCTATCCCTGCATCCTTTGCTGCTTGGAAGATCTTGCCTTCTACGTCAATGCTGACAGCGCTGGTGCATTCGTCCAGGAGAGCATACTTTGGACTGGGCAGGTGAGGAAAGGTTCGAATTAGAGACTCCCAAAGGCCTGTCCACTGCGGCCACGACACTCTTTATCCTACCCCTACGCTTTGTTTCCCTACCTCTTTCCTGCCTTTCCTCCACCCCTGTGGCTTGTTCACCTTTCTGCTGTGATCCCGACTAACCTCTCCCTACCCAAAACTCTTTCTGATTGCCTCTAGTGTGACTCTCTGACTTTCCCCCAGGCCTGGCTTTGGTTCTGCTGCCCTTGCCCTGGGAAAGAACAGACGTAACGTACCCGTCAACCAAGAAGGGCCCTGCCCTGCCTCCTCACACTGCAGCATGTGGCTGAGTTCGCAAGAAGTGGAGGATTTGTCCAAGACAAGAAGATGGAAAGGCAATCGTGCCCCCCACTGCCTTTCCGGGCACTCACCTGTGATAGAACATCCGGGCCATCCCCATCCGCTGCTTCTCACCACCTGACAGCACATCCTTCCAGTCGCTGACAGCTTCCCAGCCTGGCCCAGCCACAAACAGAGAGACAAGAGGGTTCACAGATCACTCAGCTGGGCTGGCACGTGGGCCCCACCTGGCTATTTACCCAGGGATAAGGGCAGCAACGTGATCAGTGGCCTCCCAAATTCTCCTACAGGAAGTAAAGGTTCTGAAGCACGTGCAGGGAGCGTGTTTTCCCTCTTCTCCCTGCCCCCACCCCACTTGCCCCACCCAGGTCCAGCTGCACTGACCTCCCTCACGCTGCACGATATATGTGAGGTTGACGATGCCCAGGATTCGCTCCAGGTCTGCGTCTGACCGTCCTTTCTGCGCCATGTCCTCAGCTGTGTCTGGGTAGATCACCTGGTCCCGCAGGGTCCCCACAGACATGTATGGCCTACGGTGGGACATCAAGTGGACAAATCACAGCACTTCTGGGCATTTACAGAGTCAGCCTGAGAGGACCCAAAGCACTTCTCAGTAATGCTTTCAAAATTGCCCTTTAAATCAGACAAGCTGTTTCTGTGTACAGAGGCCAAGAGATCTGTGGCTTGTCCATGGCCAGTCTGCCAAACTGGTCAGAGGGCTAGACTGGGACTTGGGAGATCTGGGTTCTGGCCCCTATTCAGTAGAGCAATTTGCTGGGGGATTTTAGGCCAGTCACTGACTCTCAGCCTAACCCACCTCACAGGATTGTTGTTGTGAGGATAAAATGGAGAGGAGAGGGAGGAGGATTATGCAAGCTGCTTTTGGTTCCTTGCAAAACAAAAACAGGTGGGATATAAATGCAATAATAAATAAGTAGATGGCAGAGACTGGTTCATGGCTCTGATGGCCTTTCCATCAGCATGTTATATCAGTTCTTTCCTGGGCCAGTTCTCCAAGCTGTAGAAAATAGTAGACCCCGAATGGCTGCTAGAATACAGACAATGAGACACCCACAACCTTCCTGATTCTAACTTCACACAGTGCTGGGAATCCGGATTGAGGGGACAGAGACACCAAAGCGCTCTCTTTGTTCCGCTGTGCCACTTTCCTTCCCTGCAGATGCCTGAATGCCAGGCCACTGTACCTCTGTGGAATGTAGAACATACGATGGGGAGGTGGTTTGTAGAGCGTGCCTCCATACGTCGGCCAGAGCCCGCCCAGGATACGGAACAGTGAGCTCTTCCCACAGCCATTGGGGCCTGTGATCAGCAGGTGCATGCCGTCGTCTACCTGCAAGGGGGCAGCAGAGAACGCGACGATGAAGGACTGGTCTTCCCTACCCCTCTTCAGTTTCACTCACAGCTCCAATTTCCTCCCCTTTTCCCTCTTCCTCTACCACCGCCCCCGCCCAGATATGTTGCATGGGAGACTGTATCCATGGCTTGCAAGACCATTCAGGCAACCTGCCAAATGACTCAACCTTGGAACCGCATAGGCAATCTCTCTCTTCCCCCTCCCCATCTGATCCTGTACTCTTGCTGTACTTCCAGCTTTTTGCATGTTCTTGCAAAAAGGTAAAGATCAGATAGCCACCCCCATCCCTCCTACCTGACCTTGTAACAGGCAGGCAGCAATTCTCACCACCCGCTGCGCTACTCTAGATGTCCAGCCTTCTGAATACCAACCTAGAAAATGCTTGCTGCCCGGACACAACACTTGCCCTCCTCTTTTCTGCCTCCCCATGAATCTGAAAAAGAGCCTTTGGGAGCTCAGCCCCAGCAGTGGTTTTCAGCATCAACACCCTGCCCATGAATGAGAGATGAAAAAAGAATGAAGAATAAAAGCAGCACATGCAGAGTACATTTGCTGTGCCAACATGATTGTCCAGTGATTAAAGAAAAGAGGGCCCAGCTTGCTTCTGTGCCTTTAACTACAACTTGATCAGCAGAAATCTCAGGGCAGGGTTTCCCCCCCGCTATGGAGATAGGCATTATTTCTTGTTAATTCCTGACTATCAAGACCCTGTTAATGGCATATCTATAACATATGCTGTGCCTTTGTTGCTGGACCATCCTGAGACTTATATGTATGGGATGGGGTACAAACATTTTAGATAGATAGATAGATAAAGACAGTTTAAAAACTGGTAGCCCAACTCAGTGAGGAACCCTAACATTTCTCCAGCTACAGATAGGCTACATTTTCCAGGTGACCTCATGTCCAGGCTCCATGAGCTCCTTCCCACCTGATTTTCAGCAGTGCTTATACACAGAGACCCCATATGAGGTCCCCCTGATGCCCACTGGTCCCATCTACTGGCAGCTGGGCTACTCACTCGGATGTTGAGACTGGTGACCACCACATCTCCAGTGGGAGTGATGATGGGTATGTTTTCGCAGATAATTCCATTATCAACATCAACCACACGTCCTGTAAGCAGGAAGGGGTGGGGTGGGTGAATAGGGAAGAAAAGGCTGGGTATCAAATCTGTAGTGAAAGATGGTGCCTGAATCCTTGCAAAGGAGCACATGCACACATGCACACACACACACACACACTCAGCTAGAAAGGGGGAGCACTTCCACTTCAAGTTCTCCCGTCCTCTGTCTCAAACAGCCTCAGTTCCAGGTGCTTTCAGTTCCTAATGCTTGCAGCTAAAAGGAATTGTGTTTCCTTCCTTTGAGTGCAATCCCATACACATTTACTTAAGGAACGGGCTCACTTCTCTCAAAGTAGAGCATTCCAAGGTAGTTAACCTTGAAGTCTGAATCTAAACTGGAAAAGGAGATGGGAGTGACTTCTTAGCTTTAAGACCAAGGCCAGCATGCCTGAGATAAGTCAAAGGGCAGGTGAGAATTGGACTGTGACCGATTCTGAAGAAAACAGGATTGAACAGTCAAAGCCAGATGGGTGGATCTAACTTGATCAGTTCCAGAGTCTGGTGTCAGATTAAATGAGCAGACGAACTGAATAGAATCTATCGGTCTGACCCGTAAGCAGCAGGAACTTCCCTGAGGGTGGAGCCAATACCATTTAGTGGAAAAGTGAGGAGGGGAATTTAGTTGGGAATCAGCTAATTCCCAACTAAATTCCCCTCCTCCCTTTTCAGTGGTATTTTCCTAATTAGCTGGCTTACTGACTTCATTACTGTTTTTGTCACTGACCTCTGCAATATTCCTTTTGTATCAAGAAGTCAAGCTCGTCTCATGTTAAAGATTGAAGTTAAAAGCTTCTTGTTTTGATCTGCTTGGAAGGAGAAGAGGGGGTGGAATGAAGTCTGGCCTCCAGCATTTGACCTGAACACACAGCTACCCAGATCTAACACAAGACATAATGAGTGTTGCCCAGAATATGGAGAAGGAAATGGCAACCCACTCCAGTATCCCTGCCATGAAAACCCCATGGACTGTACCAAAAGGCAAAAAGATATGACGCTGGAAGGTAAGCCCCTCAGGTCGGAAGGTGTCCAATATGCTACTGAGGAAGAGCAGAGGGCTAGTACTAGTAGCACCAGAAAGAATGAAGCGACTGGGTCAAAGCCGAAAGGACACTCAGTTGCGGATGTATCTGGTGGTGAAAGGAGAGTTCAATGCTATAAAGATCTAAAAAGATCTGCTGAAAAGCAGTACTGGGATACAATCTCCAAAATGACAGAATGACCTCAGTTTGAATCCAAGGCAAACCATTCAACATCACAATAGTCCAAGTCCACTGATGCCCCAACCACTGATGCAGAAGAGGCTGAAGCTGACCAGTTCTATGAAGGCCTACAACACCTTCTAGAATTAACACCAAAAAATGATGTCCTTATCATCAAGGGGGATTGGAATGCTAAAGTAGGAAGCCAAAAGATAACTGGAATAACAGGCAAGTTTGGCCTTGGAGTACAAAATGAAGCAGGACAAATATTGTCAAGAGAATACAGTGGTCATAGCAAACAATCTTTTCCAACAACCCAAGAGACGATTCTACACATGGACATCACCATATGGTCAACACAGAAATCAGATTGACTATGTGCTCTGCAGCCAAAGATGGAGAAGCACTATACCAGGGGTCCTCAAACTTTTTCACCGGGGGGCCAGTTGAAAGGTGCTGGTGCTGGGCACGGGCTGGAAAGGTGGTGCTGGTGGTGGGCATGGCAGGCTGGTTCTGGCCCTCGGACCACAGTTTGAGGACCTATGTTCTATACAGTTAAAAACAACACCAGGAGCTGACTGTGGCTCAGATCATAAGCTTCTTGTGGCAAAATTTAGGCTTAAATTGAAGAAAGTAGGGAAAAGCACTAGGCCACTCAGGTATGACCTGATGAATATACAGTAGAGGTTACAAATAGATTTAAGGAATTAGATCTGATAGACAGAGTGCCTGAAGAACTATGGACAGAGATTCACAACATTGTACTAACAAGAGGTAGCAACAAAAACCATCCCAAAGAAAAAGAAATGCAAGAAAGCAAATGGCTGTCTGAGGAAGCTTTACAAATAGCTGAGGAAAGAAGGGAAGTGAAAGGCAAGGGAGAAAGAGAAAGATACACCCAATTGAATGCAGAATTCCAGAGAATAGCTAGAAGAGATAAGAATGCCTTCTTAAATGAACAGTGCAAAGAAATAGAAGAAAACAATAGAATGGGGAGGACCAGAGATCTCTTCAAGAAAATTGAAGGGAATGCAAAGATGGGCATGATAAAGGACAAAATGGCAGGGACCTAACAGAAGCAGAAGAGATTAAGAAGAGGTGGCAAGATTACACAGAAGAACTCTACAAGAAAGAGCTGAACGTCCTGACAACCACGATGGGGTGGTCACTGACCTCGAGTCAGACATCCTGGAATGTGAAGTCAAATTGGCCTTAGGAAGTCTGAGCAACAACAAAGCTAGTGGAGGTGACTGTATTCCAGCTGAGCTATTCAAAATTTTAAAAGACGATGTAGTAAAAGTGCTACACTCAATATGCCAGCAAATTTGGAAATTTGGAAAACTCAACAGTGGCCACAGGATTGGAAAAGGTCAGTTTACATTCCGATCCCAAAGAAGGGCAATGCCAAAGAATGTTCAAACTACTGCACCATTGCACTCATTTCACATGCTAGCAAAGTTATGCTCAAAATCCTACAAGCTCCAGCAGTATGTGGACCGAGAACTACCAGAAGTACAGGCAGGATTTCGAAGAGGCAGAGGAACTAGAGATCAAATTGCCAACATATGCTGGATCATGGAGAAAGCTAGGGAGTTCCAAAAAACAACAACAACATCTACTTCTGCTTCACTGACTATGCTAAAGCCTTTGATTGTGTGGATCACAACAAATTGTGGCAAGTTCTTAAAGAGATGGGAGTACCAGACCATCTTATTTGTCTCCTGAGAAACCTATTATGCAGGTCAAGAAGCAACAGTGAGAACTGGATATGGAACCACTGATTGGTTCAAAAGTGAGAAAGGAGTTCGGCAAGGTTGTATACTGTCGCCCTGCCTATTTAACTTCTATGCAGAGCACATCATGAGAAAGGTGGGGCTAGAGGAATCACCAGTTGGAATTAAGATTGCTGGGAGAAATATCAACAACTTCAGATATGCAGATGATACCACTCTCATGGCAGAAAGTGAAGAGGAACTAAAGAGCCTCTTGATGCGGGTGAAGGAGGAGAGCGCAAAAGTTGGCTTGAAACTCAACATTAAGAAAACTAAGATCATGGCACCCGGTCCTCTCGCTTCCTGGCAAATAGAAGGGAAGAAATGGAGGCAGTGACAGATTTTATTTTCCTGGGCTCCAAGATCACCGCAGATGGGGACTGCAGCCAAGAAATTAAAAGATGCTTGCTCCTGGGGAGGAAAGTTATGGCAAATCTAGACAACATACTAAAAAGCAGAGAAATCACCCAGCCAACAAAAGTGCGTATAGTCAAGGCTATGGTTTTCCCAGTTGCAATGTATGGCTGTGAAAGCTGGACCATAAGGAAGGCTGAGCGCCAAAGAATTGAGGCCTTTGAATTGTGGTGCTGGAGAAGACTCCTGAATTTCAAACTAGTTTTTTTTTTTTGTGGGGGGGGGGGGGGTGCATTCCAGTGCTGATTAAAGTTGAAGGCAAAACAGGGAGGGGCTTATGGCAAATGGGCTCAAATACAAAAAGCTATAAGCAGATTGTGGCTTAAAGCTCTTTCTGCCATAATGAAACCTCAGGACAGGCCTTTTGACTGCTCGGAACGGAGGTAAAGCTGTGCAAGGGGTGGGATGCCACGAAACAGTAAGGCTGAGGTAAAGGGGGCATGGCCATCTGGGGAGTGCCAGATAAGGATCCTGAACCTGCGGTTCCCCACTCTTGTTATACATGATTCTTTAATCATTTTAGCATTACAGCAGGGCAGGGGGTTTGGGGCCAGCTCCGTGGGGTTTCAGCTGATATCACTTTTCTGGAATGATTCAGCCCTAACAATGTAAGCTGCAGACATTAGCCAGAAGGACTGCAAGAGCCAGACCTCGAGACTCTCCCTGCAACCCCAGATTGTGTGACTGAAGAGTCTGGCTAGACCAGGCAACTGGCCCAGGAATCCACTTTCCTGTTTCCCACAAGAGCCAGCCAGAGGTCTGGGCAGCTCACATATCCTCCTGCTAAAGTTCCTCAGAAGGTGGGACTTCAGGTCAAATTTACTCTGCCACTGAAGGTCACAGGTAACCATCACTGATAGCCTGATCTGCCCCATTTGCCTAATCCCCTTTTAAACCCATCAGAGTTGTGGGTTTAAGGCAGGGGTCCTCAAACTTTTTGAATAGGGGGCCAGTTGAAAGGTGCCAGCGATGGGTGTGGGCTGCCAAGGCGGTGTGGGCGGGGGGGTGCAGGCCGGGGGGGGGGGGCTGTGCGCATATGGCACGTGCACAGCAAGGCAGGGACATGCATGCACAGAGCACCAGCTTGCTCGCAAGGAGATCCTTTTCTCCGAGCGAGTCCAAAATGATCTCCTTGCGAGCAAGCTGGCACCTCGCTACGTCCGCACGCATGCAGCAAGCTATGGCAGGCCAGATAAATGGGCATGTTGGGCCGGATCCAGTGCACGGGCCGTAGTTTGAGGAGCCATGGTTTAAGGGGGTGAACTCCATTGTTTAGCTATGCCCTGCATGAAGCAGTAGTTTGCTTTGTCTCTCTCGAGTCTCCCACCAAATTTCATCGGATGGTCCTGAGTTCTAGTGTTGTAGAGGAGAAGAAAAGACTTTTGTTTGTCCACTTCCTCCCTGCCATGCATAAGTTTACAAACCTGATTCATGCCTCTCTTTCCTTACCCTTTTCCCTAAGCTAAACAATCTCACCTGTTGTAACCTTTCTTTCCAGTCCTATACCTCATTTTACTTGCCTTTTTCTGCACTTTTTCCAACTGTACAGTGTCCGCTTTTAGGTGTAGTGACCAGAACTGTAAATAGATTTCTAAGTGTGGTTGCACCATAGATTTGTATAATTTACAAACCCTACTGAGCAGATTATGCAACATATATCCTACATTTGCATCATATCTTCAGGGGCAAAGAACAGAATTTATTTACTTTTAATGCCCCTAGCCCTGCTGAACCTTGTACAGTCTTCCTATGTTTTTAGGTTTATTAGCTACCACAATTCATTTTTTGGCAGGCCTGGAAAGATCAGATATAAATCTAATATACCACACACATGCAGACATGCAGGGAGACTGAATTTCAGACAAATGTTTGGCAGGGGAAACAACTGTTGATGGAGAGCAAGAAGCAGTTATAAAATGGACTCCCGCAACATCATTGATTGCAGGTTTAAGGGGTAAAGGGAGGGATGCTGAATGCACACAAAAGACAAGAGGAAGAAAAGTTGTTTGGGGAACCTTTGCAGAAGAAGCTGAAGAGAGGCCAGGAAAAGAAGAAGGAGAGCACAAGACATCAGAAAGAAGAATAAAAGCAGAGCTGGAGCAGCAAAAACAAAAAGGGACTTCCTTTCCCAAGCCTAATATCAAGTCATATCAAACAGTGGTTTGGGGTTCCTTTTGCATTTCTGTTTGCCCCTGGTTTATAGTGGGTAATCAGTCATGCCAATTGTTTTAATCCATCATAATAACAAAGTGCTGTGCAAACATCCATTAGGCTTTATTATGGCTTCTTTGACAATTTCCTCTCTTCATTTGTAATTGTGCATTGCACAGGGACAGAGGGAAAGAAAAAGAGGAAAGGTCAAGCAGACCTCGATGGAGAGGCAGGAGGCAGTTCCTGCTTGTTGGCAGTAAGGACAAGTTCAGACAAAGGCAGCCAACCTGAGCTGGGTCACTTCAGACTACAGCTGCTCACATAACTGATTACTCCTCTGTACAAAAAATAATTCAAAACCAAATGTCCACTGCATAGAAAACTAGATGTCAGGGGAGAAAACATTCAAGCTAGTCTTCATACAGACATGCTGCTTTTATATGTGCTAACCACATCATTTTACTGAAAGTTGTGGATACCAGAAAACAATACCAAAAAGTAAGCAAAATAAATCCTTGGAAAGAAACTCCCTCACAAAGAAAAGGAGGAGAGCAGCTCAATACACAGCAGATTTTGATCTGCAGGGAATTGTTTTGAATTGTGTCACATCACGGAGTTCTCCCAGCTGCAGTTTGAAGTGGCACAGCCCAGGCACAGGCTGAGCAACCCAGAAGCTGGTCCGTCACCAAGCAAAAATCAAGGACTGGGGGCTGAACGACCAGGGACCTGGGCCAGGCATGAATCAAAGGCTAGAAAAATGAGGAATGCTGGGAAGATTTGGCTGTACTGCTGTTTTACAGGTTCCCATACGCAGGCTAGACCGGTACCTCTAGTTTTTGTTAGCGGGGCTGGGAATTCTATGTCAATGGGGCTCGTTATCCATTGCAGCTTTTATTCTGAGTTGTGTTGGAGCTATTCTTGCTGCTCCATCCCCCAGATAGCTTCACCACCATGGATAGCTCCCATAATACTCAGAATAAAAGCTGCATGGGAGCTCCACTGACATACAGGGATCAGCAGCCTCCCCTGTTTATAGCCCAAAACTATTCATGTTTTTCAAGAGAAAACCCCACTGAGTTTAATTCTCTTGAGTAAGCCTTCATCTGATTGCAGCCTTAGTTTGAGAGTGCCTGGTACCAGATGTCACCATGTACAACATGGCCTCTTTCTGTAGCAGGTCACATCTAGCAGTTACAAGGCCAGCAGCTGGAGGGAAGGTGTGTGTCAACAGCTATACCTGCTCCAGCAGCTGGCGTGCCCTACCTTGTATCCGGAGAGGTCCCTCTACACGTGTCCCATGCCTCATCACTGTTCCAGCACGAGCCTGCCTCTCCTCGAGTTCCCCAGGACGCCGGAAGTTACAGTCTTTCACATCCGTAAATACTTGGAACATCTCATACACACGAGCAGTGTACCCTGCCAGCTCAGTCAGCTAAAGGAGAGAGATGCAAACAGATTACTTTGGAAGGAAAACCCCCAAATCCTCCCATCTGGTCTTTTTCCCTAGAATGGGGGCAGGTGGAGTCTCACCATCATTTTTAGAGACATGTAACTTCACATGAGAGCTGATATTTACCCAGAATCTGACACCTTGTGCAGATTCTAGAGACAGCACAGTACAATTATCTTTTTAAGTCCTTGTGCTACTGGAAACACACAGCTGAAAGGTAATTGCAAAAGATGCAAAAGATGCTCATTGGGATACATAAATTTACAATCAGGACTAGAGGATATCTGGTCCTGGTCGAGTCTGGACTAGTGGTGATACCTATAGGATATCACCCTGAATGGAAGCAATCCTATGCATGTTGAGACAAAAGAAGTCCCACAAGTCCCAGCATGCTAGCTGAGGCATGCTGGAAGTTGTAGTTCTCTCTCTCTCTCTCTCTCTCTCTCTCTCTCTCTCTCTCTCTCTCTCTGTGTGTGTGCACAAATGCACGTAAGATTGCACCTTTCCTGTATTTAAGAATTTTCAGCTAACCTCCAACCAGAAGGAATAAAGCCTGAATATAACCAATGTTCTGAGAACTTTAGTATTCCTTATTTTCTTGATTTAAACTTAAGTTTCTAGTCATGTTTTCAGTGACAGACTTTTAAAAGGCTAGGCTTTGCCTTTGAAAACTCAGATACAAGGTGGAGAGTATTTGAAGACTTCTGCTAATGGAACTTCTTATATGCTCTGTAGCAACTTGCCCTGTGCAATGGCTAGCAACAGCACTATTATTCTGTGTAATCTTCATGAGCCACAGATGTGACTTTCTAGAGGGCAGAATTTCAATTTGTTAAAATTAAGCACCTCATTCAATTCAGCCAAAGTTCTGAATTGCTAAAAAAGACTCCCTGAACCCCACAAATAGAAACTTACTGGCTTGACTGCAGGCTCTTGAAATCTACAGTGAGAACATTTTCTGTGATTATCTGGAAGTATGTTCCTCTGAGTTCAATGTCATACTCCTAAGTGTACATAGAACTGCAGTCCGAAGATGAGTGTCTGACCCTACAGTCTAGCTATCCAAGGGCTGACAATTCTGAGTAGGAGAAGTTTTGCCAAATAGTCATCTTTCCCATTGCCAGATCTGTTTACCTGGATTGTCCCTGGGACCTTCCACATGCAAAACATTTGCTCTATGGCTGAGATACCTTTCCCCAAGGATGCAACTTCAGCAAGTTTCCAAGACAAGCAGGTTTCCTAAGGCAGAGTTCCTTAGCCTAGAGAATTCCTGTGGGCAGCTGCTGATAATCGCTCTGCACATGGCACTTGGATGTCCTTGTTAGGAGGGTGCTATCAGTCAGCCCATTTCTAAATACATGTAACTGAGTTTCAAATCACTGAGAAAACAACAATAAAGCAGTTGAACCAGGGTTGAGATCAGCAATGTAGGAAGGAAGGCAGGCAAGATGGTTTCTTCTAGTTGGATGTTATGCATGTTTTACCCCAAAGCCAGTCCCAACAAGTTCAATGGGACCTCCTTCCAGAGTGAAAGAATGTAAATGGCAGCAGAACTGGGTGTGTTATCTTCAGATTGTTTCAGCAGGCACAGATCAGACAAGCCTCGTAAATTAATAGGGAGCACTGTAGATCCAAGATCTTACATGTGCGCACTGGAAAATACAATTACATAAGAAGGCAGACTCTAGGGTGTTGTGAAGTCAGGGTATTGCTCCCAAATCTCCTGAGGCTGAAACCCTGTCCCTTTGGAGCCTAGGCAATACATGCACAAATGTGCCATTGAGAATGGTGTGTCGGGGGAAGAATGAGATGGAACGGTTTAGGTCCTTCCTTCTCTTGAGAATCAGACTGCCCCAGTCCCTCCCAAGCTCAGCCAAGTGCCAAGTGGCATCCACACCTCTTTGTACGAAGAGATGACCCTCTCTGTGGCATCGGCTGCTGCAGTCAGCAGGTTCCGGGCTGTGGTGAAGGCTTCAGTTCTCAAGCTCACCAGCTCTTTCTCCTCCATTTCCAGGGCAGCTTGTTTCACAGCTTCTGAGTCTAGTGGGCAAAACATTGTGCAGACAGGCTAAGATTAATGGAAATTTCAGGAACAGTACCTCTACAGCCAATTCCCTTGCTCCACCTCTGAATTAGGGACATGAATCTGCCTGGAAATCCATAACTTATTGGGAATCTCCCCTTTGCCTGCTCAGTAGTAGCTCCCTAGCCTAGAGACCAGCCTTTCTTGACCTGGTACCCTCCAGATGTGCTGAATCACAACTCCACAACATTTGGAGGGCATCTAAGTCAGAGAAACCAGCTGTAGTGGTTAGTGGCAGTTTAAAACACCAGCATGAGAATGGTTCTGAATGGGGCTAGAACAGCTGAGAAACACTGCAATCCAAGGACTAATGAGATAAAGCCCAGCCTTTCCCTTGAAACCTGCTTCTCCCTGGTCAGCAATCAGTCTTTGACAGGGCCCCAAATTCAAACTGAGGAAGGGGCAGAGAGCCCGCAATGTTGACCCTGCATGCATTAAACGCCCGGCCACAGGCCTACAATTCCACTCCTCCCAGCATTTCTGGCAATACAGGTACTGGCAGAGCCCCTCCCAGACGTGCTTGTCATGCCTCAGCTCCAGCTCCTTCTTGTGCCCTTCTTGTGTGCAACAGAAGCTTGCTCAGAGCTCTTCCCCTCATATATACCACTTACTCTGTCCTGGCTTGTAAGTGGCAAAGCCTCTCTAGTGTTTACACTGCGGTGGTGGAGGGGGCAGAAAGCCTTGTCTGAACAGCCCTTTGCCTTGATCACAGGGGAAAAAGCAGCTGAGAGACACAGGGAAGGGTCCCTTGGTATCAGGGGCCATGGCTGGGGCAGTTGGGAAATCCCTGTGCACCATATTGTGCCCCTGGGTCTTTCAGTTACCTCTTCCTACCTTAGCATGGCATGTTGCAGGGGCAAAATTAACCCAGGCCCCTTCATCAGAGCTTTGTGAAAAAGGGACAAGGGCTAGAAAGAGCTCAGAAACCCACAATGCAAAGAAAGCCTTGAAGCTGCGTTCACCAACCCAGATCCCTTCAGACATTTCAAACTCCCACCAACTCCACCCACTGGTCTTGTTGCTGTGGCAGATGGGAGTGGTTGTCCAAAACACCTCAACTGTAGAAACCCAGGATGGGAAAGGTTGCACTAAAACTTCCAGGGTAGTGGAGGAAACCAGCACTGAGGGTTCTACCCTGCCTTTCATTAAGATCCGTGTGATTAAATTTAAATGGGCAAAGGGGAATCTGCTGATAAACTAGTTCTGTTCCTAAAGGATTTCAACCGGATTCTGGGCCACAGGAAGAGGAAATCTTCAGTGCACATACATATGCACACACACCGGAAACCAGGGCTGTAACCCAGGTACTATTATTAGGGAGCCAGCCTTAATTGGCATTATTGAGATTATTCGTATGTTGACCTTCTTTCTGTTTTTCTACTTATTACTAATGCAATAGCCATGAAGCATACATGAAAGAGGTGAGCTGACTGGCCATCCAGCCTGTTAGTGATGTTTAAATGTCATGACTGTACACAATGACATGGCTTGTACAATATGACAGTCCACTGTGGATGCCTGGCCCGCTGTGGCTTGCCGTGGCATGTGAACCTCAGTGACAGGGGTTTTTTCAAGGTTAGACAACCCTCAAATAACCCATGGGTTGTTTCAAGGTTATTATGCCACTTTGGGCTGTTGTATATTGTAAACCAGAGTTACATTTATATATCATAAAGTTTCTGACATACTCCAGCCTTCTCCAACATGTTGTCCTCTAGACATTCCAGACTACAACTCTCAGCATTCCTGCCCATTGGCTCTGGGGCTAATGGAAGCTAAAAGTCCAAAATATGTGGAGGACACTGCACTGGGGAAACCCAACATATACCCTATGGCACATTCTGCTGAGGTTTGTCCCACCCTCATCCTTTGTAATGGCACCAAAGGGAACTTGGCAAAGCCAAAACAAAACAAGGGCTGCTTGCAAACTCAACTAGGGGGACAAAACTGTCTCTCTTCTTCACCTCTCCTCATCTCCAACCTCTTTCCAAAATCAGTTCCTGAACTCAGGGATGCAGCTAGCCATTTCCATGCTCACAACAGGCTTCTAGTATGATTAAGAACAGTCGTGGTCCTTTAAAAATTTAAACATTTGGCCAAGAGCTTCCTTTGGGAACATGAGTCTCCTCTGTGCAATGTGAAGTGGGAAGCAATGACAATAGAGCGTGTGTTTAACCCTTCCCCTACCTGCAATCCCTTTTCCCTCACCTGACTGGGTTTGTAGTGCTCTTTGGACAAGTAGTTGGGCAGCAGGAGTGGGTGAACTTACTGTGGCAGCAACAAAGTTGCAAGAGAAAAGTAGCAGGACAGGGAACAGAGTTCCCTAACTGGGTCCTCCGCCTGCTGCTTCACAGTGAGGGTTTGCCAAATGTTTCATTTGACCTTGAACGGCCTGGGCCATCCCAGGTCATCACTGCTCAGTGAGACTGAGTGCTCCTGCTCAGAGGTGCTGAGGAATGAACTCACTAATTGCTGCTGTACATCACTTCCTTCCAGTTTTCTCCGTGCCTGGATGCACTGAATATGTTTTACTGTGTTAGAGGCACAGGATCAATAGATCCTGCAAGAATGCCAGCCTGCCCCGGCCTGGTGCCCTGAATTAAGCCTCTGAGCCAGCTGGCACCAAGCTGTCCATCCACTGCTTTGAACGTCATTCTTAATTATTCCATTCTCCCTCCCTCCCTATCACACACACAAACACACGCTATTTAAATGTGTGTGTCTGTTTTTCTGTCTGGGTTGTACCAAGAAGAGGTCCCACTGTTGCTCAGTTCCCATTACAACACTGCCTGTACTCACCTGTCTCAGAGTAACCGGTGGCAGTGATGATCGGCACGGCCACCATGACCAGCCCGGCAGCGCTCCACACGTACTTCATGAGGAACTGCTCCAGCATGACGTACCAGAGCCGTTCTAAGAGCAGCACGTTGATCTGGGAGGCGAGGTTGCGGTAGCACTGCCACAGAAGGGACAGCTCCACCTGGAGAGGGAGCAGCAGAATGGAGCATTAGGGGGCAAGGTTTGCAGCTGCTGGGGCAAAGACCGGATCATGTGGCTCTGATTTCGGAGCATTAGCCCTGCTCATCCATTTGCAGTCCCCAGAGCTTCAGTGTGCAGCAGATCAATTGCATGTGGTCCTATCAATGCATGGGCAGCCCAGAAAGGAACCACACAGAGCAGCACCCGAAGGTTCTGGTGGTGGAGGTACTTGAGGTCCCTGACGGATAGGGAAGAGAGGCCTGGAACCCACATATCACCCCCAGCAGAGAACCTGGCAAGTCATCATCTGTGTGCAAGCGAAGAGAAGGTTCGGTCATTCTAAGACCCATCTCCACCCATACCCCTTGATGGGTCCAGCAGTCTGACACTTACAGAGAAACCAGTTTTCTCCACTCCTCACTGATCTCCATGCCAAGAAAAGTTTTGCTGCTACAGGAAGCACTACAGGGTGGTGGTCTGCTGGCCCTGTGCTAACCCAACTCTCATCATCTCTGACTGCTGGCTGGGACTGACCCCAGAAAGGCAACAGACGTCCCACCCCTGAGCTGGTTCACACATGAAAGATTTGGAGACTACAATATTGACTGCTGGCTAGCATAGGTGACTGAACAGTTGCCATTCACCAGCAACAGAAACAGCATTCTCACATGATCTCAATCACAACTGAGTGGGGCTGTCAATGTTTCTTCCAGCAACCTTTTCCGCAGACATTCAGAGGTGGGAAAGGGATCTCCATACCCAGAAAACTTTCACCTGCTGATTTTGGCCAGTTCAGCTGCTCTTAAAGGAACAACAGCAGAATCCAGAAGGAAAATTGCAGAACTGCCTCTGGCCATCTTGTAATAAGTAATCACATGATGTAGCTGAATCTGCAAAGTGGACTAAGGCTAAGCCTCCCACTGGGAAAAAATAATCATGGTGAAATTAGGATGTAAGAAACAAAATAACCAGAAGGAAATTAAGGAGAGAGAGCGGCTAACAGGCCAGTTAAAGGGTAACAGCCCAATCTTATGCATGCTACTTGAAAATGAGTTAAACGGAGCTTACTCCCAGTAAGAAGGTTAAGCAGTTGGGATTGCAATGGTGTGGACATAATCTATCTTGACTTTAGCAAAGCTTCTGACAAAGTGCCTCACAGTACCCTAGTTAGCAAACTAGCTAAAAGTGGGCAAGATGTAGCAACTGTCAAGTGAATCTACAGTTGGCTACAGGATTGTACTTTAACAGTGCTTATAAGTGGCACCTTCTCAAACTGGGGACGGAGCTAACAAGTAGGTTACTACAAGGTTCAGTTCTGAGTCCAATGTTTGTCAACATTTTTATTAATGATTTGGAGGAAATGCAGGGTATGCTTATATGTATCTGCACATGATACAAAATTGGGTGGGGCAGTTATATCCTTACAGACAGAACAAAAGACAGAAACAAAATTCAATAGAAACAAATGCCAAATTTGCACCTAAGAAGAAGCTAAATGCATAGTTGCAAGTTGGGGGATACCTGACTCAACAATAGTACATGAAAGAAGGATCTTAGAATTGTTGTTGATCATAAGCTGAATATGAGTCAACAATGTGATATGGCTGCAAAAAAGGCAAATGCTTTTGGGCTGCATTAACAAAAATATCACTTCCAAATCCACAAAATACTAATTCTCTCTACTCAGCACTGATTAGGCCTCAATTTGTGTACTCTGTTCCATTTTGGCACCACAGTTTAAGAACAATGCAGACAGACTGGAAAAGGCTCAGAGGAGGGTGGCAATGAATTGAAACTACTCCTGATGAAAGTGAAAAGAAGTAAGTGCCAAAGTATGACTGCAACTGAACATTAAGTTAAAAAAACTACAGAAGAATTATACAACTTTAATGTCAACAATGAAAAAAATGAAATTGTGAAAGTTTTTGCATACCTTGGCTCAATTATCATTTTGAAGTTTGCAAAAGTAAATGGAGTTTGCAGCCAAGAAATTAGAAGACTTGAAAGTGCAGCAATGAAGAACTAGCAAAATGATCAAGTGTAAAGAAGTTTCATGAAAGACCAAGGCCAAGACCATTCATAATACGGTATTCTCCATCATTATGGCCACATGTGAATGATGAACAGTGAAGAAAGCTGACAGGAAGAAAATTGATGTGTTTAAAACATGGTACTGGAGGAGAGCTTTGCAAATACCCTGGACTGACAAAAAGACTAACAAGTGGATCAAGTCAAGGTAGACTTCCTTGAAAGCAAAAATGATGAAACTGAGGCTGTTGTACTTTGGGAACATCATGAGAAGGTAAGTCTTACTGGAGAAAGCAATCATGCTAGGGAAAGTTGAAGGCAGAAGATCAAATAGATGGTTTGCTTCCCTAAAGGAAGCTGTAGCCTTGAGTTTACAAGAGCTAAACAGGGCTGTCTAGGACCGGACATTCTGGAGGGCATTCTGTCATAGGGTTGCCATAAGCTGGGGACAAAAAGGCACAAACAACAATAGCAATCCATAGCCAAAGGTAGCTTTCAATTTAATACCAGAAGTTCTGGCTGTGATTGTCACTCTCCCTAGAATTTTTTTGCCTCTGCATTTGTTCTGTCCCCACATCTCTGTGATACTAGTCCTCTTAGCCTCGCTTTAGCCATTTGGTCTGGTAACTGCAACACATCTGAAAACAAAAGTGTCCATTAGGCTGCCTTTGGACTGGGACCCTTAGTTGTACTGCATGAAAACTTTGGGAAATGCGCTCCCTCAGGAAGGAAGCCCTATGAAAAAAAAAACCCTGTGCCAACATTACACCTTGGATTGGGAGGGCCAGGCCAATGGATCCCAGTGTCATCTGATCTTATTTCCTGTCTTTGGTGCTGCAATCAATAGGATGTGCCCCATGGAAGAACATATGGAAGGAGGAGGTGCTCCGAGACAGCTCCTCCTCTTGGTAGCTTTCCTATGGCAAGAGTGCAACCTACAAAGCATTTTATCTTTGTTTCTTTCTTGTGTGTTCCCTTTCCCTTTCTGTCTGCTGTTCAAGGCTGGGGGTGGTGGTGGGGACCATCCTAGGTTAAAGATCTGCCACTGAGTAAACTAGTCACTCTGAGAGCCTGTGTAGTGTAGAGGTTAAAAGTGTGGGACTGGGACTCAGGCAATTCAGGTTCTAGTCCCCACTCAGTCTTGCACCTAACTGTTTGACTTGGGCAAGTCATAGCCTCTCAACCCAACCTACCTCACAGGGTTGTTGATGTGAGGATATGATAGAGAGGAGGGGGGAAATAGTGTAAGCTACCTTGAGTTCCTTGGAAGGAAAAATAGTGGAATATAGATATAATAAATAAAATATATAATAAATAAATACTGTGAGCAGGGGAATTGGAGACACTGGCCCAAATATTTTCAATAATCCTAAATCAGCCTTCTTCAGCTTGGTGCCCTCTTGATGCTTTGCAGTTTAATTTGCATTAGCCTCAGTCACCATGGGGCCAGGAATTCTGGGAATTGTAGTCTAAAACATCTGGAAGGCACCACATTGGAGAAGGCTGCCCTGAGGAATCCCATCATAGATTCACAGAATAGTAGAACTGGAATGGGCCAAGAAGGCCTTTGCGTCCAACCCCTGTTGGTGCAGGATGCCAGGTCACACCATCCCACTCAGGTGATTGTCCAATTTTGCCTTGGACATCTCTAGTGTGGGAGAGCCCACGGCCTCTCTTGATAACTGGTACCACTGCCATATTTCCCTAACAGTAACACCAGTTTCCTGGTGTCTAGCCTGAATCTGGTGTGCTGTAGTTTAAGTTTGCCATTACATGTCCAACACTCAGCAATTAGTAAGGTCTTTTCCTTCCTCTTTGTGACAACACTCTACAAATACCTCAAAGGCTATCATACTCCCTTGTAGCCTTCTCTTCTAAAAGCTAAACATGCCCAGCATTTTCAGCCTCTCATTGCAGGGCTTAGTTTCCAGACCCTGGATCATCTTTGTTGCCCTCCTCTGAACCCTTTCTAAACAGCAGAATGGGTGACACAATTCAGCCTGCTGCTCTATAAGAAACGTTGTGGTGACTAAATCCGGTCACGGGATATTGTCTAGCCCCTGCTTAGGAGAGCAACTGTTGCTTTTTGTTTGAAGTGTCTGGTCTGTGTATTTGCCTGCCTATTTGTATCTGCGTGCGTTGATTCTAGGAAGAGGCTAAGGACAAAGGCAGGCCCCATTTGTTAAAGAGAGTGAGAGCAAGTGAGCTAGCACATATGGGTGACCTAAAGTTACCCATAACTGAGGCAGGATGCCAGGGTGGGAGAGTTTATGTCCTTGAAATGTGTTCTGCACAGATGAATTGAAACAGAGGGAGAGGGACTGCAGTGTGACTGAAATGACTGTTAACTTCACGCACCCTATCCCTCAGTGACATCCCTCTGTCCCTATCCCTCAGAATCAGGGACAGAAAGATTCAGTCATCAAGATTCCCAGTTGGCATCTGTTGCCAGAACCACCCTGAAGTGGTGCAGCAGAGGCAAACTTGAAAGGCCCCGGGGATATTTTGAAGGTTCAAGCAGAAGTCAGGCAGTAGCAACAAAAGGAATTCTGGAAGTAACTAATGAACAGGAACAAATTCCCAAAGTTGATAAATTAAGGTCAGGGCCCCAGCCTTGCCCTGGAGGAATTCAAGGAAGAAGAATGACAAAGAAAAGGGAAGTAAACAAGGGTGACTGGTTTTAGCCTCAGCGCTTCCAGCATGTCTCTTGCTTTAGCTTCCCTTCCACCTGGGGAGGGCTCAGTATTGTTGTTTGCCTCCATTTCACCGCTCAGATCCACAAGAGGGGAAAGTACCAGGATCCACAGCAGAAATAAAATATAAATGTTCAACCACCCTTCTTGCTTTCCCGAATTCTACTTCACTGCAATTCTTAGCTGAGAAACTCAGGAATCCTGACACCTGATAACCCTCCTCGTACCAACTCACCCCTCTTTTTCTCTCAGAGAACTCTAGCACCCTGCCCAGGCATTTTACCTTGTGCCCCCCATAGAAGGCAATCTCTTCAGAGTTGGCCACCATTCTGGAATGCATATAACGGAGCTCCCCCTTCCGTCGTGCCTCCTCAGCTACCAACTGGCCAAACTTTGGCGAACAGGAGCGCAGCACCTTGGCAGTGAGGCCAGCCACCAGTCCAGCAATAAGCGAGGGCCACGCTGTGCCGGCCCCCTTGGATCTGGCCGAACTGAGCAGCGTATACGAGGTCACAATGAGATCAAGCACCGGCTTGGTCACGTTTGAGTAGAGGTGGGCCACAGAGTTGGCGAAGGCCACCAGGTCTTCTGTGAGAGACTGGTCTGGGTTGCGCAGGCGTCCATCCATGTTGCTGACCCGGTAGTAGGTCTGGCCCTCAAAGTAGAGCTGGTAGGCATGTTCCACTAAGCGGCCACGAAAGGCCAGAGCCAGTTGCCCCTCCAGGTACCGAATGGCACTGTTGACGAAGGTGGCTGGGAGGGCAATGAGGAGCCACTGGAAAAGCTGCCACGTAAAGTCACGTGGATTCTTGCGGACGATGCAGCGGGCCAAGCGTCCATCTAGGTGGGCCACGTACACTGAGAGGAAAGTGCGGCTGGCTAGGGCAGCCGAGTGCAAGGCCAAAAGCCCTGTTTCCCGGCAGAGTAGCCCAGGGAACAGCAAGCGCAGAAGGCGTAAGAGGCGGAGAAAGAACACCCTGTTCACGCCAGGTGGGGATGCTGTCACCTCATCTGGGAACCCACAGCTGGCTGGTGCCTCAGCAGAATTGGAGTTTGCCGTTAGGTTGGAGTTCACCCGGAGGACAGAGGTTGCCCACTGCCGTCGCAGGATCGGGTACAACTTCTTGGCACCGTACAGAGCCACCAACAGTGCCACTGCTGCTCTTTTGGCTGTGACTCCTTGAGCCAGCCGAGTTGCCACTTTGGCTGTGGAGAGTGGCATGATGCCCCCAGGATGGGGGCACTGCCCCTTGGTGGTAGCTTCCCTCTTCCTCCTCCTCTTCCTCCTCCAGCTCGAGTGCAGTGCTCGCTGCCCAGCAGTGGCAGTGCTTACTTGTCAGCCAGTGTCCGCTCTCATCCCACAATGCCCAGCCCTCGCACTGACAAGCGGGGAGGAGACTGAAGAATGGCCATCCCTCAGACCATAGAGAGAGCCTCAGGGCACCATAGAGAGGAAGTACAGAGGAGAGCGGGGCACTCCTCGAAGCGGCCACTGGAGGGCGCGCGGAAGAGGTTCCTGGGGAGAACGGGGCTCGGGCTTTGCCGCCGGTTCGCCGCCTCCCGATCTGAGACGCTCCCGGGCCAGCCAGCTCAAGTTTATTCGGAAGTGGAGGTCCGAAAATGGGCTGTACTTCCAGCTAGTAAATGCGCTGAGAAACTTGTCGGCTGAAAGTTGGGAGCGAAATCGCTTTGGAAAACCACTATCTGTTCCGGCGTGTGCGTGTGCGTTTAATTGATCTGACGCATCCATCATTACAAGTGCTGGAGCTGAGGCGTCTAAGAAACAATCGGATGCTTAATGTTTTAATAACAAAGCACCGAAGAGAAGAACCACGTGCAACCCGATGACTGTGCCTTGAAAAGGTTTGGCAACAACTCCTAACTGAAGTCATCGGGTCTAGAAAGCCATTTGGGGGATGAAAGGTGCCCTGTTGTGGGGTGTTGCTGGACCATAGGTAAAGTTGTATGAGTTCAAGGTCCGACAAGGACTCTTATATTTTTAATGCTAGTAGCCTTCATTAGTGCTAAAGTGGTAAATACTGTAGCACAGTTGCTCATCGCGACAGTCCACATGGGCATGTGCTCAAGGAGAGTCTAAAAATACAGGCAGCTTTGTTGATCTCTCTCCCTCTTGGGTGTTTAGTATACATGTCTTAAGAACATAAGAGCAGCTGTGCCGAATCAGGACAAGGGCCAACTCATCTGGTGTTCTCTTCACACTATGGCCAGCCAGCTGCCCATAGCGAATCTGAAGTAGGGCAGGAGTGCCACTCATGTTCCCCAGCAACTCTTGTACACAGGCATACTGCCTCTGACACTGGAGGAAGCCTATCAGACTAGCCACTGATGGCCTTTTCCTCCATGAATTTGTCCAATCCCCCTTTAAGGCCATTCAAACTAGTACACATCATTACATCTCATGGAAGTGAATTCCATAGTTTAAAGTGAGCCGCTTGTAAAGAAGCGTGTCCCGTTTGTCCTTATTCTTCCACCAAGCAGCTACACAGGATGACCCCAGGTTCTAATAAAAGCAAGAAAGAAAAATGCTTCCTTATCTGCTTCCTCAAGCCATGCATAATTCTGCACACCACTATGTCTTTCTTTGCCTTTATTCTAAGCTAAGCAATCCCAGATGTTTCAACTTTTTCACATAAGCCTTACAGTATGTCTCTAATCTCATATATGTTTTTGTAGGTCTTTTGTAAAGCTAACAGGTCTTAATTACCCATTAGAGACCAAATATTTTGCATAACAACTGGGATAGATCACAATATGCTGCTGGGAAAATCCAGCCACCCAAAAGCTATTGTTGTGAAGATTGCAGCTAAACTCACAGGAAACAGGGAAGTCTGAGGGGAGTGGTAATTGATGTTACTGAGCCTGCTAATTAAAAGAAGTGCTGGCTCTAGTACACCATACCTCTCTACAGGCAGCTCTGCAGTGGTGGAGAATTGCTAGAACCCCTCCAAAATACCTTCAGCAGCTACTGAAGCATTTCCATAAAACAGGTTAGGGAAATAGGTGGCCCTGCAGTGTTCATCATCTTTCAACACTGGTGATGCTGAGGGAAATCAACATCTGGAAGGCCACACTTTTTCCCATCTCTGATAATGAAAAACACTTTGGTGCAGAATTTGTCTTCCTTTTGCAGTACTGGGGGGATGATATGCATGGAAGCACCTAGTATGGCAGGGGCTGAGAGATTGTTTTAATGGCATCAAGGGTAGGGATTGCAGTTTCATGAGATCTAGGGAGATGGACACGCTCAAGAAGAGGATGCCTGGGCAGGAGGAAGGTAACAGGCGGCTTGCCTTGTGGCCTACCCACACTAAAACCACTTATCTCCCAGAGATAGGCAGTATGGAAGCTTTAATAACCATTAGTATAAATGGGTATGCAAAGTTCAGAGCTGATTATATAAAAGGAGAGTAAAGTTAGACTCTGCCCTGATTGTTATCACTGGGTTGGTTCTCAGCTTTACTCCTAAAGGTATGCTTCAATCTGAAGGGGACTAAAGGTCATGGAGGCCAGGCTTGCAGGACTGGGGGCCAGGGGAGAAGCCACGCGGATTTCTCTTCCCTGCTTCTGTGCTGCCGGGTTGCCTAACTACCCTTATGTTATTTGGGTTGCCCAGTCTTCCAACTCTATGTGGTAAGTGGTGGAGGTGACCTCCTAGCCATCCCAGAACACGTAACCTGTCATAGCCATCCCCTGCTGCACAACTTGCTGGGTGTGAATGATGCAGCAAGGGGAGGTATTGGGTGGGCTGTGCAGCACATCACCGACAACACCCACACACATACAGGGGTGGGGCAAAGAGGCCCCCATGGCTTCTTTTCCCCAGTGCTTGTGTGAAGCTGGCCAGTATTTTTAAAGGAATGAGCAGCAGTCATTCTGCGATAACTGTCCTGCAGCTATTCCACTAGCATCATCAGGATGTCTGTAAAGGAAACCTCCCATTCCATGGGGCTGTAGTTAAGGCTGGACATCTTTTAGTTTGTGTTATTCACAAGACAAGGGTCTGGTATTCTTTCTCAATAAGTCAAAGAGCAGGAATTGCAAGCCTCTGTAGCCATATTTCAGAAAGCAATTGTACTTTGTTCTGAAGCCTTCATATAACCAAAGTCTAGGAGGCAAGCAGTGTTTGGAGGCAAGGAGCACAGATGTTGTCGTGTCTTTATGGTGTAACCCCACCTAGAGTGCTGTGCTTGGTTTCGGTGGCTGCTCCTCGAAAAGGATATTGTAGGGCTGGAAAAGCTGCAAAAAAGGCAACACAAATGATCAAGGGGCTGCAGCAACTCTCCTTTAGCTTAGGAAAAAATGAGTATACATGAAAGAGATGTATAAAATTAAGCATGATATGGAGAAAGTGGAAAGTGAGGCTTTTTTCCTTCTCTCCCATAATTCTGGAACTCAGGTCATCCCATAAATTTGATGGGTGAGAACATGAGGACGGCTTAGAGGACATACATCTTCACACAACATGTAGTTAAACTATGGAATCGACACCTCTGCATATGGCGAGCCACAAGTGGGTACCCATGGGTGGTGGCAGTGGGTGGTGAGTGATAAGCAGATGCCTGCAGGCACCGCCAATGGCAAGCAGCGAGCTGCAAGAAAACAAACGAAAACCCAACCCTCAAAGAGCTGCATAGAGCTCCTGAGCCTCGGTTTGGCTACTCTTGATGTAAAGTGATGGTTGCCGACTTAGATGGTTTTAAAAGGGAACTGGACAAATCCATGGAAGAGAAGGCTATCAATGGCTACTAATCGTGATAGCTATCGCTGGGAAAAATGAGTGAAAGCTCTGCCATAATATGATTGCTTAAAGCCTGACACTGTAAAAACACCCTTCGTCTTAAGGCAGAATCCTGATCTGATTGGGAATTCATGTTGCAAGTCTTGCTCCCCAGGCTGATATATGCCTGACCTGAAACTACTACTTGTTTGGTTACATCTTAGAGATGGTAATGTTTGCCTTTCCTCCTTCATCTTTTCTGTGTCTTACTCATGTTCAACCTTATTATTTTACCCTATTGTGCCTGGGTGTTCCCCCACCCCTCCTAGGTCATAAAAGTATCTTGTATAGATTCCATTGCTATAGTTCCTTCAGGGGCTACCTACATGCTGCATGTACTTCCTGTATGTCTGGATAAACGGTAAATGCTGATTTGATTCTACACCTCCAGCCTGCCTATTCTTTCCAGTTTTCTTGTCACAATGTATTATATTGCCAGCAATATTAGAGGGAGTATGTCTTTGAACACCAGTTGCTAGAGAACATAAGCAGAAGGCTTGTATTGGGCTCGTGCCTTTTTTGTGAGATTTCTGTTAGGGTAACTGGTTGGCCTCTGTGAGTCCACAGAGCAAACTTTTGGTCTGCTCCAGAAAATCTTTTTTGATGTTCTTTTGACCACATCAGGATCCAATAAACATGTAGCTCTGTGCATGTACACAGTACCATGCTGGCTGGCTTGATGCTAAACTGAGCTAGCCTCATCCAGATGACATGTCTCTGTGACAGTCAATTTGCTGCCAGTTGACTGCAGGGCATCACTGTTGGTAGCACTTGAGTTGCTGGATCCTCCACTTTAAGCTGCCTGATGAAAGGAACTGCATACAGCAGCCACATGCCGCTACAACTGGTGTGCATAAGCATACCCACCAAGTGGCTGGCCGCCGTTGTGCAAGTAATGTGGCCCCGTCGCCTGTTGCGTATCAGGTCTATCTGCCTCTATCCTATCAGAATCTTCTACACATGTGGAGCAAGAGTGAGGAACCACCCATGAATCAACGCCTGCATTAAACCAAAGAGAGCAGAGTTAGAATTTCTTTAACACTGCACTGGCCTCTGCTCCTTACTTGAAAAGGCTGTCCTGCCTCCCTTTGAGAGCTCTAACGGAGGTTTCCCGAAGGAAAAGGTTGTTGGTGGACTGATGCCAGCAACTCTTTGATCGCTGGCAAACGGGAACCAGAAGTCTGCGGAGAATTACGAAGTCTGCTGCCCTTTCACGTTGCCGTGACAACTGCGGCTTCCTATCATGTCATAGCGGCATTCTATTTGTTCCTATAGATATAAAAATATAGAGTAACAACAAAGTCAACACACAGTCAGAATTAACTTGAAAGGTTTCCGTTAACTATGCTGCCTCGCTAATATAAATCCTAGTAGCAATTCCTAGTAGTAGTAACCAGCCCAATTTAGTACCAGAAATATCAGTAAGGACCGAGTAGAACCATTGACACAAATACTTTTTCATACCCAAGCCGTGCGAGATTAGACTTGAAAGGGATTGTTAAGTTGAACTGCACTTCTCTACTGGTTGCTTCCTCCCCGGAAGTCGTCATGTCATTCCTTCCAGTGACTTTTATACATATTAAAAGAAAACCCGGTATTTTGGTTCGGACTGTAGAGTATGGATCTTAGAGGCAGGGATGTAAAAGCATGACTTAGAACGGGACTTCCACTGTTATACGTGGTTCAGGAGATGCGGAAGCGTTCTTTTTCCTAAATCTCTAATATACGCCAGCCTGTTTATTCGTACCGCTTTGGCCCCATTTGTTTTGCATTTGTTTACAGGCGAGGCTTCTGGAGATCAGGACTTTAGCACTGTCGTGATATGTCGGCTCCATTCCCATCCCAGCCAAAAATGTAGACACAAATATACGAGTTTCTCGGTCTCTGAAGTTTAGATCGCGGGGCCAAGGGGTGGAACGTATATTTTGAGTCATAATTTTAAAGAATTCAAATGCTTTTTTATTATTCCACAAAGGCAGATTTAGTTCAGATTGGGAAAGGAAGATCAATAATGTTTTGCTGTGCAATTCTCTGTATATCTAAGACGTAAGCCCTGGGCAAGCGTGTAGAGAATTGCATCCTCATTCCAGTGCCCTAATTCCAATGCAGACTTTTCCTTTGTTTTTAAAAAACGCCCCGTCCGGGACGAGAAGAAGGGGAAAATTTAAATCTTCCCTAAAATCATCACAGTTTTGGTCCGAATAGGGCCGCGGACCTTTACGCTCAGGTTAGGAGAACACTTAGTTTGGCCCTCGGTGCGAGCATGCTTTAATACATTACTTCACGAATCACTTTCTGGCAATATAAATGGCAGGTGCAGAGCCCAATTCCTATCAGAATCGCTAGGAGATGTGTAGGTAGACTAACCCATGCCTTGGATCCTTAGGCAGTAACCTTTAAACAAGCTTTAACTCTAAGTGGGACCCACGGAGCAACGCCATAAGCCTTAATTCTAAATGGCTATCTATAGAAGCTCGCTGGTACGGAGCAATCTTATGCTCGTCTACTTAGAAGTAAACCCCTGTAAGTTCAATGGGGCTTCCTCCTAGGGAAGTGTGCATACAGGACTTGCGGCATGCACAAGAGCTCACTATCAAACAAGTAACTCCAAGCTTCTCCAAATTGCATAGAATAGCGCCCTGTTTCTTTGGAAAGCCTTCTTCAACCCGATGCCTTCCAGATGAGTTCGACAACTTTCCGCAGCTGAGGGATGCTGAGAATGGTAGTCCGACACATCGAGAGAGCAGCGCCTTGGGGGAGGCTTTCAAAGAAACAGGGCGCTATAGGAGAGCACCCTAGCAAACTTTGCTGCTGTACCGACGATCTTCTATCATGGCGGCTCTTCTGGTTAAGCCATCCCAGTTTTTTGTGAATGTGCGAATTACATGCGACACAAGCGCGGGGAGGGAGCAACTTCCGCCTTCGCCCCAGCAATCTGCCTGGTTCCCCTTCCTTTCCTGGTCCGAAAAGTCGCTTGTCATCGGGCGATTGGGCCCCTCCAAATTATCCCGCCTCCTCTTGTGGGCAGGGCTCGCGAGCTTCCCTCTATTTCCGCTCGTGGCCGAGGTGTTTGTGCCTGGAGGTGGTTTCGACTTGTTTAGGGTTTGGTATGTATGAGGAGTTACTCCCTTTATTTCTCCCCCACCTGGGGTGTGTGGAATGGGTCTGGGAGGCTAGCAACCCAGGAGCCTTGCATGAAGAAGACCGACTGAACGACCCATTATTTCGGCTAAGGAACGAAACAGAGGCTCAGTCTGTTCCTTCCCTATTGAGGGATGTCTGTTCTTCCTTATTATACGCAATTTTTCGGTGGGGAGAGAATGTAAAGCTATTCCCTTTGGAGCAGGGACAGGCGGAGCACCCTAGTTTTAACTTCCAGTGTCTGTGTCACAATAGTATATTCCCTCAGTCCTCACTTCTAGCTATGCCAAACCTTAATCACGTGTAAGTGATACGGTCTCACCTCTTTGGGTGCATGTGTCTCCTTTATTTGTTCCTTGTTTTCTGACTTGAGAATGAACGCTTTGGAGGTGGGGACAGGCGGGCAAAACTTAAGGAAGCCTTTAAGGTGACTGTAAACAGAGAGTACTTCATAAGTGTTGCCTACCATCTAGTATCATGGGGAGGTGTGGTGAAAGCAGAGTGTGAGTATGAGAGAGAACGATGGACGTGCAGAGATCTGTTCTTATTTTCCACGTGACCAACAAGAGTTCTCGAAGCTAGTGACTGTGCTAGTTCTACTGGTTATAGAACATGGAGCAAGTGGGGAGATATATCTTCTAATCATGGGGATGATTCTGCAGCCAAGATTTTGAATGATACAGAATTCTTTGAGGGGGTGCTGAAGCATCCGTAGCACATATATCTATTTTGCAAGCTGCATTCATGATCTTCCCATACTGTGCTGCCTTGGTAGTTAAGCTCTCAATGTAGGGAAATCATTCTTTCCACCCCGCCCACATGCTTTCAAAAATGGCTTTTCTATGAGGTTGATGGTGAAAAAGCACCCAGAGGCTGATAGAACAATTACTGGTGCATTCTTTGAACGTTTGGATGTTGACATGAAGCAGAGAAAAGTAAATATGCCTCTCTGCTTGCTCTGAATCCCTTTTAAAGACCCTGATTATCTCTTTGGCATGAGAGGCTTAAGTAATATAAGTTGCAAGGCTGTTGCAACATTTCACTTGCTTTAGCAATTCATGTGCCTTTTTATGATCTCTCTCATTTCTACATAGTTTGCATTTCTGGTAAAGATATGAGAAGAATGCCTTTATTCTGTAGAATTATAGAATGCAGCTTCTATTTATTTATATGTATTTATTCTGCCTTTGATGGTTAGAAGGCTTCTTAAGGGGGTTTGCAAATAAAATAAAACAAGTGTAAAATGCAGTCAACTAAAGCATTTCATTTCATCTTATTTCAGCACAAAGTAAGATTAGTAAATATCACTGAGTTGGTTCAGAAGTGACTAAGGAATATATATATTCACATGGCAATACTCGTTGCTTTCTTATAGGTACAGATACTTGCTGCTGTGGGGGAACAGTGCAGGAAGGTGCTGTAAAAGTATAGCAGTTTCTTCTGGTTCCAATAATGGAGACATTTTCTTGGGCAAATGGCTTTCCCTGCATATTTCGCTATGCAGTTCTGTCAGCCTCCCACACACACTTTCCCCCTCTTTATGGCTTGCATGTTAATGGGAGCAATAACTATTTGATGTTGTATTTTTCCTTCTGTTCTATTGCATAAAGAGTGCTGTCTGCCCTGACTGTAACCCCAGGTTAGGGTTATTTGTCAAGCAGGAGCCACTTTAGTTCCAGGGCTTGCCTCCCATCCACTTTGGGGGCCTTTTGTGGGCTGTGGGGGCCCCTCTCTTGTCATCCCACAGTCCAGTGGCATCATAGTATACTGGACCCAGCTGGAGGTCTTTTTGGGGCTGCTCTTACTATTCCCCTCTCTTATGTCCAAACAAGCCCTCATCACTGGGCAAGCACATTCTGATAGCTTTAGCAAGTCATGGCCCGATGATATTTTTCTCTTCAGTAAGTGCTCTGCTCCAGTTAGTGCTGCCAAATCTCACACTGCAAGTCCACACTGCCATCTTGCTCACCTATTCTTCATCTTGCCTGCAACTGGTTGACTGCTTCTGTGCTCTCCCCACTCCCACCCACTGTGTTAAAGTTGCGGAATGGCAGCTCTTTTGACTCCCCACCCTGAAACTTCATTTGGTAGCCAAGATGATGGCATCCAGCCCACCACTAAAGCAAAAAACCAGTGAAAGCTCGACAGCTTCTGCTGAGCATAGACAGGTATTACAAAAACAGAGTAGGAGAAGCAGAAGGCCACAAAACCAGCAGTGGCCCTCAAACCATGCAGGTGCAATTGCTTGAATGCCAGTTTCATGCCACAACACTCCCCCTCCAAAAAAATCCCACCTGGTAACCAGAAGCTGTGTTGGTCCTGAGTCATCAATGCTATTCCTTCAGGGGATTGGCATATCAATCAAATTAAGCATGAGGGTATTTCCTGAGGTGCTGTTAATCTGGGCCTGGAAGGGAGACCCTTGCTTGCTTCTCAGCACAAATAGGGGTTGCTAGCCTGTTAAGGTGCTGGGAAGCTGGTGGTCTGCTTGTAGAGGCAAACTGCTATTTTGGTCCAAAAGGAGCCATCTTCAGTCTTCCAACCTCAGAGAGCATTAGACTGCAACGTGATTGATTGAAGGCCAACATCAGTCAAGCAGCTAAGCACCTTTTCTAACCTTTACCTAGAAGATAGTCTCTTGATTGATCTGAGAGCAAAGAACACTGAACCAAAATAGGTGACATTAATAAAATGCCCCTTGCTCAGTGTCCCACTGGGGCAAGGGAAGGTTTTTACCCCACTCCTCTTAAGTCTTTTCTTATCCCAAGGGTCCCCAACAAGCAGGCAGGATGCTGATGGCTGGGAGTGGTATCCCAATAGCATTTCTTAGAAAGATGGTGGAGAAGGTTTACATACTATCAGAAAGGAAATTCTTACATGTTGGATTTGGTAGGGATAGACCAGGGATTTTTTTGCTTTTCTGTCTGATTTTCTCAGTTGCTTTGAATGAATAGGAATGAATGGTTCTGCAAACATTTCTCTCTCCAACCTGGCTTGACTTCTGTGGGCTCATCTGTATGGATGTGATGTGGGGGTGGGGGTGTAGCAGCACCAAATGTCCACTTGGTAGCCTTCCAATGTAGTGCCTACAGGCCAAGAGAGCATATGTTAGCATAAGTGTGTGTAGCATGAGGTGTCTGCCTCTCTGTAACAGCCTTCACCTTGCCTGATTCATCCTGCAGCATGTGTTCCCAGAAGAGCAGTGATGGCTTGCTGGTGGCCTGCAGAGAGCATCTAACCTGCAAGTTCATAATTCGAGTGCAAGTGACTGTTAGACAGCGTCATTCTTTCCATGAATTTGTGCATCACAGATACTAGTTCAACTAGCAATGCCACTATTGGCTTCCCTTCCTAAGAGGTTTTATGGGGGTGCCAAACCTGTAGTCGGCTATTTCTGCTTATCTGTGTTAGACCCTGCTGCATCTAGAGAGAAATCAAACATGGGGGCAGCATCCTTCCTTGATCTCAAAGGGATGCCGGAGCAGCCATCAGGATATCCATTAGTTTGAAAACAGAAGTGACAGAACACAGCAGCCGAATTTCATTTTCTTCCTCATTTCTATATATACATTTTTCATGGTTTGTCACTTAGAACCCCCTTCCTGGCTGAACACATCAGCCATGTCACTGCATGGTAGGGGAAGGCTTTGTATGATATCCTTTTCCTCTCTTGGTTCTGAACCTGGTGCTAAAATTATGGAGGGTAATCAGTATTGAAGAGCTGGTGAAAAGAGGGCTAATGGCCAGCAACCTAGAAGGCTGGAGGCTCACCTCCAAGGGAGTGATAAACCCTTCTGGAGTATAAGCCCAGTCAGTCTTTTAAAAAAGCAAGTCTATGCTTGATGCTTTTCTCTCTTTTGTTGTCTGTCTTAAGGGTGGAACCCTGGCTCTGGAAACTGGTTTGGAACTGAGGCCCACAGTTGCTGCTCTGAGGGTGTTGGGTGGTGATAGATTCTGTGTTGTGAATTCTGTATTCTAATCTCTTCTCTTCCCCTCTAGTACAGAAGTGTAGTTAGAAGTCCCTTGAAGTGGAACTGCTTCCAAGGCATTCATGATGAGTCTCCAGTGGGCAGCTGTGGCCACTTTTCTGTATGCAGAAGTCCTTCTTGTTTTTCTTCTGTGCATACCCTTTATTTCTGCAACGAGGTAAGGAGTTGCTGCTGCGTAGGGTTGTGATTATGTGTTTGGAACTTTGGGAGCTGTTGGGAGGTTTGGCCTGCTGGCTAGCCTGGCATGTCACTGTGTGTATACTACTTCTCTGCTTCGGTTTCAAAGAAGTAATCGGGGTGATGCTTAAGCAGGAATGTGTAAACTTGAGTGAGAGTAATTAGCATTGCTGATGTCCAGTAGCTGCTGGGAACCAGTGGGAGGCTGATGAGAGGTACCTAATGAACAGTGGACTGGGTGAAAGGTCACTTAGGCTTTCCTGTATCTTGCCTGAATTGCTGGCTCCTCATTGGCAAACCTCTCTTAAGTGGCTGATCTTGGAGCTGGGAATTTCTGCATCATTGGTTACAAATGTGGGGACAAGTGTGGGGAATCTTTTGCCCATTGGATATTGTTGCATTCCAGTTCCTTTCATTCCTGATCCCTGGCCATGCTGGTTGAGGCTGTTGGGATCTCAACTACATCTAGAGGGCTGCAGGTTTCCCACCCAGCTATAAGGTACACATCATGGACTTTAAAGATCACTATTGTGGGTGTGGACGCAGTTATGCTTTAAAATAACCACTGTGAAAAGATGGATCTGCCATATAAGTCATTCCAATTTGCTTAGGCTGTTTCATTTTGTTTGTGGCCTGGTTCACATGTAATGACCATCCAGAGTATAAGCTGAATATGGGATGGTTGTTACATGCAAACCCTGCAATATAGTTCAACTGAGCTGTTAACCAGAGACCACCCAGCATTCACAGTCTACCAACAAACTGTGGGTTTTCTTCCTGGGTTTTTCCAATTAACAACTCATAATAGTGCACAGTTCACGCGCAACAGCATCACATGATTCAATTCTGTGTTCTCACTTGATACACTTGAGCTACGGCAATGAGGCCTCATTTCTTGTAGCAACAGGGAATCTTACACTTCACTTGACTGGAAAAATGAGAGACAGTGATGTATTCTAGTATTGAGTATCCTGTGGCCCAGCTGTTGTTGTGTCACATGTTAAAGGTTTTCTGTTATGTTTGATCATACTTTGCAACTGGCCTGCTTACCTCTGCATAATTCTGCTACTGTTAGGCTTTTGCATAGCTCCGGTTTTGCTTAGTAGGAGGAAGAAGCTATTCAGGACACTGAAGCCCTGTGCTCAGCCACTTTATTATTATTATTTTTTAATTTAAGGGATTTTTAAAACCATCTTTCTCAACAGATTATCCTCCAAAGGCCATTTGCAGTAGTTAATAAAACATCATCATGGGATAATACAAGGGCAGCATTAAGCTATTGAAATGTAATACGATCACACAGGAGAAAACGACTGAAACAACAACACATCAATTGGGTAAAAACAGCAGTCACAGAGAGAAATATTAAAAGAGCAGTAACAGAAACAATAGCTGATGAACATGGCTACTCTGCTGACTTTTGAGATTTATTAAATACTACTGCTTGCAAGCATATCTGCGAAGCCATTGAAGGCTAGAACCTAGCATCTCTACAATAAAAGCTTAGATTCTCAGGAAGCTGAATTCAGTTCCCAGCCCATTTCATGTGCTCCAGCTGCATTGTGACATCCAGCTCTTTACCCCCTTCCATCCTTTTCTGGCCTGTAACCTGTTACCGGGACAGTTCTTGGGAGACAGAAGCCTAAGAGAGTGATAAGTTGCATGGCAACTACTGACTTCTCTCCTGATTGCTTCCAAGTGACACCTTCTAGGATTTAAGGTCATTAGCAACCTCTTCCACCTGAGCATACTTTCCATCTGCAAGTGGCTCCAACCTCTCACATTGGGCATGTGACGTGGGTTGGCATGACCCTCTGGAGGCAGGCAGCCTGGTGCTCTCCAGACTGGTTGGGCAAAATGACCCCACCACTGGCTAGGGTAACAGGAGCTGGTGGGAATTGTAGGCAAACCTTCTAGAATGCAGTGGGTTCCTTGTGAAGGAATCTTCAAGGCAGAGAGCCCCTACAGGAGGGAGAGTTCATAAGTGCATAGAAGGTGGGTTTATACTAAACCCCATTCCTGTGTTACAGCAACCTATGACTCAGTCAAACCATGGGGCTGTAGGGTTCGCAATGGTTTGTCATGTACTGGGAACCTAGGAGGTAGGGGTTGTTAGGTTAGACAACCCTCAACCCTGAAACAAGCCATGTCTAACTCTCAAGCAACCCCTGGCACCTGGGTTCTCACTACCAGCAAGTCATGGAAAACTTGGTGGCCACAGGTACAATGCAGTGATGGGGCTTGCAGGCAATGTGATATCCTCTGCAGGCAAAATAAGCCTCCATGGGTTGTCGTGCTGTGTGAATTGGGTCACTGTGTTAGATCATGGGTCCAACTAGTTTAGCCTTGTCAGTGCCGGCTGGCAGCCATGGTTCTTTTTCTCTTTTCTCTGTCTCTTTTCTCCCTATCTTTTCTCTCTTTCCTCCCTATTTTGAAATCAAAACAACTATAAACAGAGCAAGCTAAAATAGACAAAATTGCCAAGGGAATTTGATACAGATCCAGCCAGTACAATCAGCCCTTGCAATCTGTCCATCAACACTCCATAAAAATGTAATACCAAAAAAAAAAAAAAAAAATCTTAATCTATACAACAGATCCTCCAATCACTTCAGATCCTTCACAGCTTTCCCTGTCTTTTTTAATCACCTCAGATAGAAACAGAAACACAGCAAGTCAGAAAGGGTCTCCCAGGCCATCTAGTCTGACCCCCGGCTCCAGCCGGCTCCACTCATGACATGCCCACCATGTGGACATCCAGTCTATCCTTGAACACCCGCACCGATGGGGCCTCAACCACCTTCCGGGGAAGCCCATTCCACACCCTCGGGGTCCTGACTGTCAGGAAGTGCTTCCTGGCATCCATATGGAACCTTGGCTCCCTGAGATTGGCTCCGTCGGAGTTTGTCCTGCCTTCCTCTGCAGGGGAGAACAGGTCTCTACCCACCTCCGTGTGACATCCCCTCACATACCTGTATGTCGCCAACATATCCCCTCTGAGTCTCCTCTTTTCCAGGCTGAAGAGACCCAGTTCCCTCAGTCTCACCTCATATGGCATCTCCTGCAAACCGGCCACCAACCTTGTGGCCCCACGCTGCACTGACTCTAACCTGGCTATATCCTTCCTGTAATGAGGGGCCCAAAACTGAGCACAGTACTCCAGTTGCTGTCGCACCAGAGTCATACAGAGCGGTAGTAACACCTCTCTTGATCTAGAAGCCACACTTCTGGCTATGCAGCCAAGGGTGGCGTTCGCCCTCTTGACCACCGCATCACATCTACTTTTCAGATCTACTTATCCTGCTGCACATTCCTCTAACAATCTTCCAAACAGCATACTCCACCATTCTCTCCATTCTTCAATTGTTGAGGGCTTTGGTGATCTCCATCCAGAACCAGCTCCAATTCTAACTCTGATATATTTCCTGAAAGGCTCTCCTACACTATATTTTCACATTTGGATATTTCCAAATCCTGAGAAAGTAGTTCCTCTATACTTCTCACTAGTCAGACTTCACCTGGAATATTGTGTCCAGTTCTGGGCACCAAGATTTAAGAAAGATGCAGGTAAATTAGAAAGGGTCTAGAGGAGGGCAACAAAAATGATCCAGGGTTTGGAAACACTGCCCTGTGAGGAGAGACTGAGAGAACTGGGCATGTTCAGCCTTGAGAAGACTGAGGGGGGCATGATATCCCTCTATAAGTACCTCAAAGGCTGTCACAAAGAGGAAGGTCAAGATCTCTTTTTGCTGATGCCAGAATGTAGGACATGGAATAATCAGTTCAAGTTGTGACAACCCAGATTCAGGCTGGACATCAGGAAAAGCTTCCTCACTGTCAGAGCAATCGAACATGGAACCAGCTGCCTAGAGAGGTGATGGGCTCTCCCACACTAGAGACATTCAAAAAGAAACTGGACAGCCATCTGAGTGGGATGGTGTAATGTGGTGTCCAGCAACAGCAGGGCGCTGGACTCGAGGGCCTTCATGGCCCCTTCCAACTCTACTATTCTATGATTTTTAAGACTCATGAAAAACTGCTTTGATTATCTTAAAAGAAAAATTCAATGCATTAATATTAATTGATAATATCTTCATTCTGTCTCTAAAACTCAATCTAAGGAGCTCAGTTGACTGTCTGTTTTCAGATCTGTCATCAGCTTTCTGTCATCCCATTCAGATTTCCTTCTTGCATTAATTCTCTTCATTACCACCTCTCACATTTTTTCATACCTATAAGTAAACTACACTTCAACTGTGCAACTTAAAGAGTTAGGGGAGGGGAGGGGAGGGGGGGAAGTCAAGAAAGAAAGAAAAAAAAATACAAGGAAAAGGTAAGAGGGGAAAAAAGAAAAGTGGCAAAAGATGAAAGTGAATAATGCTAGTTAGTCAGCCTTCTATCAAAATATTAGTTTGAATTAGTTTGTTAAGAAGAGGCATTGTTTCAACTTTTGTAGCAAGGGGCCTTCCAAACTTCTCCAAGTTCAATAGGCAGAGCTAATGGCCTTCTTCTCATAATACATCATGATTGTTCTTTGTTCTTTAGGATTATTAATTTTTTATTCTTAAGCGGGGCTAGGACCAGCAAAAAACCACCAAGTCCCATCAGAGAGATACAATTGTTCCTTAGAGCAAATCATGTATAGTTTAGATCAAGAACTGCAACAAAAAATTGCCTGGCTTGAACAACCAGCAACTCCTTCAAAAATGGTGACGAAGGGAGAGAGAACCATCATCTCTTCCGTTGCAGTGAGCTTCAGCCAAGGTCAATTTTAATGTCCAGGATTCTTGAATAAAAATATCAGACAATTTACAGCTGCAAAATACCCTTTTCAAAGTCTTTTCAAAGTAGAGAAAGAATCTGGATCACAACCAAAGTCATAACCTCAAGTCTCAGCTGTCCAAAAAGCGCTGTTGTCCTTCTCAATTCAAAAAGCACAATTAAGCATGAAAATTCACCTAGCTGGTATTTTCATACCAAGCTCAGTTTACAGTATTCATAATGCTTAGTTCTAGATTGGAGACGTTAAACAGCTTTGCAAATAAGATGCCATCTATCAGCAAAAGATTATCCACTTCAGAGTTGCTTCAAATTACGCAAACAAAAATGCCTTCAGAGTTCAAGCTGCATCAAATTAGTGTGCTATTCCCTTGGCAAAGAAAATGTCATAATATAAAAAGAAATAAGTAAAACTAAAAGAAAGATAAAAGGAGAAGAAAAAAGAAAGCGTAAGTGTGTGGGGAGGTGCAACTTTGTTTACTGTTTCCAGTATTACCTGATCAAGCCATCTTGATGAAGTCAGAGCTGCAGGCTGAGAGTCTTGACGCTCACCTGTCATTTAGAGAGGCAAACACCCCTCGGGGCAATTTATAATCACTCAAGCATTATAAGGCACAAAGCAGCAACATTTGCTGCTGCTTCATCAATCAAGTCTCCATTCCCCTGGAACACAGCCATGGTTCTCCAGGGCTTGAGGCAGAATTCTTTCCCAGACCTCCCTGGATAGGCCAAGGATTGAATCTGCATGCAAGGCTGGTCCTAAACTACTGAGCCATGGTCCTTCCCCAGCACATCACTTTATGAGTTTTCTAAATCTCTGACACTGGCTGTAATGGCATTGTCTTTCTGAGAGATACAACTCAGTCCCAGCTACTATTCTTTCCCCCTATTCCCACTTAAATACTTGTAACAAATTGCAGCTATAGAAGTGTACAAAGTATTGATCCTAAACCCAACATTTTTTCTACAGGTGGCAGAAGATCTTCAAGTCTCGCTTGGTGCAGCTTCTGGTGACATATGGAAACACTTTCTTTGTTGTGCTTATAGTCATCCTTGTTCTGTTGTTCTTTGGTGAGTGGAAGCTCATGCAGTTGGGTGGTGATCGTCTTAATGCCACTTGCTTGGACGAGCGTGTGTTTCTGTGCCTGCTGACTTCTGTTCAGGTCTAAAGGGTGGATGCCTAGTTTCTCCCACTGCTGCTCGGCTGAATGTACAGCTCCAGTCCATAGGCTCTCCAGCTTTCTCTTGTAGAAAGCATCTTCCTGAGCAGAGTTTCAGTTTGGATAAATTCCAGCCACTAGTTTCCCTAATTCCCTGTAAGGTTTTAATTGAAAACAATTAATGAAACTATTGAGTCCTCTCAATTACAGCTTAGAGGTAGATTATCTTGCATGCCAAATTGGGCTGTGCAGCAACCAGGTTCAAATCCTGCACAGCCATGAAGTAAACACAGCAACTGCCTTAAGAACTGTGGTTAGGGTGGGACCCTGTAGCCCCCTGCAGTGAGCTGCAGGTTTTTTGAAATTCCAAGAGAAGCAATACACTAGGCCTAGATTTGCTTACAAGATCTATTGATAAATCAAGTAACTTAGATTGATCTGCTGACTGCATGTGCATTGGCAATTAGCAAGGCTCCCATCAGCTGCAGTGGATTGGCAAGGAAGCCTGCTAGTTTTAGCAAGGAATCCAGACCAGGGGCCAGGCCATCTGCCCACTTCATATACCTTCTGATGTTTACAGCCAAAGCATACCTTGTTACAGATGTGTGTGCTTTAAATTTACATGGATCGCAAGCCTGACAGCTTTAGCATTACTCAGTGCCCAGCTCTGCTAATTGCAAAATACACCTTCATGGCATTCTCATGATAAGCTAGTACTGGTATGGCTAGTAATTGCACATCTGATTGGCAAGGTCATACTGCATTTAATGAGCAAGGTTATGTTGTGGTTGATGGGAGTAGGAGTAGCCTGCGCCCCGGTCTAACCGGCACAAACCTGGACTGCCAGCTTGTGATCAAGCCTGATAAGCAAGCACCTGCTGTTGATTTTTCCCAGGATGTTTTGTGTCTGCCATTTGTTCATCTTCCCTGGCAAGAAGCCTGCCAGGAGACCTAAAACCAGGCCAAGCGAGATGGAAGGTGCTGAGGTCTATACAGATGGCCCGGCATTTAAAGAACTGCTTCCTTCCATGTGATACTGCAGTTGCACTGAAGCCATCAGTTCCACCCTTGTCAAAATTGAGTTGGCATCTTCCTGGAACAGGCCGTTTTCAGCTGCATCCCCCAGATTATGTAAATTCTTATCCTGGAGGCTCAACTACCACCCTCTCCATACTCCTGTACTCCTCTTGTAAAGGCTGTGCTGTCCCCTCATGCCATTCTTGACTGGTTTCCTTTTGGGTGGTGTGGTGTTGCCAATCCAGCTTAGGGGTGCTGGATGATGATGATTTTGTATGTGCCTTTTCCCATTTGCCATTTTGACCCCTTTTGAGATAGAAGAGCAGGCTACACGTTTCAATATAAATTATATTGGAAGAGCAGCCTTACTTCCTTAAGAAGATGCAGTGTGTTGCATGCCATCCTAGGAATGCATGAGCTCCTCTTAAGAGCTGCCTCATTCAAGCAGGCCAGAGCACGGTGCCCTGGCAGCTAAAAATCTGTGGTTGAGACATGCCCACTGGCACAGGCTTTTGCCTCAAGGCCCCTGTGCTTCAGCATGTTCCCCCATTCTGGTCCTTCTAGCAGGAGGCTGTGTAGGAGTGTTTCTAGAGCTCTTTCACAAGCTACAGCAAGCTGGCGTGGCCAGAAGGAAAGGCTGGGAGCTGGCTAATGCTGGCCCCTAAAGGCTGTTTCGCAGAGTTCGGAACAAAGATGGCTGGTTTTTAAAGTCAGAAAGAAGCTACTCCTCAGGTTTGGAGTACTTTTGTTTGCTTATACTTGTACTCTTGTGGGAAACTTCTTCATGCTCCTTCCTGCATTAAAATCTGGCAGGATCATTAGAAAGCCGCTTCCATTCCTGAGCAAGCAGTTGTGAATCTGGTTTAGAATACCCATGAATTTTGAGGAGCCCATTTCAAAAGGCTTGCCCAGGGAAAAATGAAGTCCCTTCCTTTAAACCTCAACCCTCACACCCTTGTTTTCGTGGAACATGAATACCAAAGGCTGAACTGGAAAAACAGATCTAAACTAGAGGATATACTTGCCATGTTACTATGTGTCCTGGACTTGGTTTTCCTTAGAGACTGAGTGGGTGGGCAGGATTCAAATCTGGATGAGGTCCATGGGATGGTGGGTAACCCTTCCTCTCATGCCATTTCCCATCAGAGCTGATTGCCTCAGAAAGTGTAATTACAGCAGCTGGTGGGGGTATAGTTTTCAGTGGGAAAAATTTGTCCCAAGGTAGAGTCAGCGCCCCTATGTGCAGCAATCTCTGTTGGTATTCCCCTCCAGTTCCTGTTTCAAAATAAAATTAGTCCAATAAGATGAGCAAATTTGGCAAGACTGTTAAAATCAATCTCCAGATGAGTCATCGTAACATAGGATGCTGCCTCGTATTGAATCAAAGCATGGTCTGCTTAGCTTGGTGTTGCCAGCATTGGGAGCAGCAATGCAGGGTTTTTCCGACCCTGCCTGGAAATGAAGGGATTGAATTGGGGACCTTCAGCCTGTGCAGTTCGTGTTTTACACCCAAGCTATGGTTCTTCTCATATCTAATCCAGGCCTATAATTCTAGGGTACTTAGAAACCTCGTGTATGTGTAGAAATCCTGCTTCAACAGTCTCTTGTTCCATTGGGATCCAAAGCTTTATTTTTAGACTTGTATCCCAGGTGGCTGCTATTAAGGACCTCAAAATGGCTTGTGTTGTGATCACCAGATAACATACACATCCCTTCAAAGTGATCCAGAACTTGAAATAGAGCAGTTGGTGGCACTTGGGTTGAAAACTAATATTTCTCTTTTGGAAGTTTAATTCTTGAGAAATGTCTGTTGATCATGTAGATGCCAGTGGGAGGAACCTGATAAATCTCTCCTGTGAGGGAATTCCCATCCTGGATGAGCCACTAAAAGTGCAAAAATGGCCCATTTCTAGTGGTGGCCAACAATACCTTGGGCAGTTGTGCTGTATCAGGTTGTGTTTCTCATGCCAATCTTGACTTATGTGCTAAGTGACACATGCAGGAGAAGAAGCATTCTCTGTTTTCTGGCTCCAGGTCACCAGGACCCTCATACCTCTCCTTTGGCTTGAAAACAAATGCCCAAACAAAACTGGTACTTGGTGGACCTCTCAGAATAGAAGTAATGTGCTCCTGAAGCTTTGCCCCAGGCAGAAGTGGCGCTGCAGCATCCCAGACCAGCCAAACTCTGCTTGGGTGATGTTTCTCTGGCAAGCTGGTAGCAAGTAGCTGAATTGCATCACTGCAGCTGGAAAAGCTCGCTAGATTTCCATCAGCCAAATAAGCTTCCTACTACTTGTTTAGGGACCTACTGCCAGCCTGTGGGACTAGCTTTCTTTGTTGCCTACACAGTATGCCGCTCAATCCAAGCTGTTCTCTGCCCCCAAAAGCAGCCCTGCTATATTTATGCAGACATCTGGGAGACAACATACTCATCCCCACCCCTTGTCAGCACACAGCTTTTCTTGCTGGATGGGAGGGCCATCATTAGCTTGCCTCAGTGCCCCCTGTAATAGAGTGCTCAGCATTACAAAAATGCTTCAGGGAGCAGTCAGCAACCTTTGTTCTACTTTCATCTATCTGTGTGCCCAGACATTCTGTGCATAGAGGCTGTTGGCTGCTGCTGTTTGGTGCCTCTGAGAGGGCAGAGTGTTGTTCTTCTGGTTGCCTGTAATGATTAGGAGTTGCTTTCAAGCCACTGGGCAGGGATGGCTCTCAAGTTAATTAGGGGCTTTGGGTGGATGCACTATTTGCAAACATCCTTATGGAATGCAGAATGTTTGGAGAGTCACCAGAACATTCCAAAGGCAAGGTGGCCTTTATGATGGCCACCTTGAGGTGGGCAACAAAAATGATCCAGGGTTTGGAAACACTGCCCTATGAGGAGAGACTGAGAGAATCTGGGTATGTTCAGCCTTGAGGAGACAGGGGGGACAAGATATCCCTCTATAAGTACCAGAAAGGCTGTCACAAAGAAGAAGGTCAAGATCTCTTCTTGCTGATGCCACAGTATAGGAGATGGAATAATAAATTCAAGTTGTGACAACCCAGATTCAGGCTGGACATCAGGAAAAGCTTCCTCATTGTCAGAGCAATAGGACAGTGGAACCAGCTGCCTAGAGAGGTGGTGGGTGCTCCCACACTGAAGACATTCAAAAAGGAACTGGACAACCATCTGAGTGGGATGGCGTAACGTGGTGTCCTGCAACATCAGGGCGCTGAACTTGCTGGCCTTCATGGCCCCTTCCAACTCCACTGTTCTATGATTCTATGTCTGGAGCACCGTTTGAGCTCTCTGGCTTCTTTCTAGCCTCTAGCCTTTAGAGAGGGCTTGTTTTGTCACCAATGGCAAACACAGTTGCCTACAAGTGAGAGCCTGTTCGCTAACCCTAGCTCCCTTTCTTTCTTTTATATGTTGCTTTTCTCCCCTCACCCCCAAATGACTCACAAGATGGCTAATGATAAAATCCAGATTAAAAACAAAATATAAGATAGATTAACCACAGTTGAATACAGGAACAGGAGGACAAGGTTATCTGTTGTTGTAGAAAGATGCATTAGTTCACAGTTTGGCAATCATGTAAATACCTTGTTTGCTGCAGTTTATAAAGCGCTAGGAATGGAAAACTATATTAAACTGAATGATGCTGCAGATGCTTCAGTCTTAGCATCAGGTTCTTCACCAGCAAGACACAAAGTGATTCCTTTAGGGGTGCTGGGGACTTCAGAGGTGCAGGTTCTCATTGCTCTATGGTACTGGTTGATGCTTTTGGAGCTCTTCATACCTTGTTTGGGAAACTACTTGGAATATAGTTTATTGTGCTGGTGATCTGTGCCTTTTAACATCCCTAAGTATAATCCCATGGGTTTCAATTCACTCTCATCATTTCTGTTGCAATGGAGCTGCAGGATTGCTCTGAATTTGTCTAATACAGAAGCCAACACACTGCAGTTGGGGCTTCACCAGTAGAACCAAACTGTGGCTTTGGTTCTGACAGGCCTTGCAATAGGATTCCAGGCATGCAGAGTTCAGACTGTTTCTCAATGACTTGCAGATGCCATTCGCGAGATCCGGAAATATGATGATGTGACCGAGAAAGTGAACCTGCAGAACAATCCTGGGGCTGTGGAGCATTTTCACATGAAGCTCTTCCGAGCCCAACGGAACCTCTACATTGCTGGCTTCTCATTGTTGATGTCCTTGTGAGTACCTGCAGTGGGGATGAATGCTTGGGAGCCATGCCGCAGCTCAGGTGGCAGGTGTAGGGAATATGCACTGAGGCATCAGTTTTCATCATTCCCAACAACACACTTTTACCAGTGAGATGGAAGAGCCTTCCCCGGATGGTTGCCCTCCAGATGTGTTGATGACAGCTGCAGCTCCCATCATCCCTACCCAGCATGGCCACTGGGAGCGAGTGTCTCCTTTGAGGCTCTTGATGAATGGCCATAACTTTTCCAGGGAGCTCTTCTGGCCTTCCACTGAGGGAAACCTCTGTTAACTGGAGAGAACTGTGGCTATTCCTCTGTGGGCCAGGTTATGCCTGTGGGCTGGAAGTTCCTTATTGCTATGCACACCCAGCCCATAGGAAATCCCTCCCAGCTCATTGTTGTTGTTAGTTGCGAAGTCACGTCCGACCCATCGTGACCCCATGGTCAACATTCCTCCAGGCCTTCCTGTCCTCCACCATCCCCCGGAGTCCACTTAAGCTCACAGGGACTGCTTCAGTGACTCCATCCAGCCACCTCATCCTCTGCCGCCCCCTTCTTCTTTTGCCATCTATTGTTCCCAGCTCATTGGTACCCCTCTAATTGGATACTGGATTAAGCTAACCAAAACCTTCAGAGATTATTAGATTCCAGCCCACCTTGCAGATGCATCTGTGGTGTTCTAGCCCACTAGAAGGTCATGCCCCAATATGTTGGTCTTTGAAGCAGGATCTTGTTTCCAACCACAGGCAAATGCAGCTTCCTTTCAGGCCTGGTCAACAGCCCCTTGGAGAAGGAAGCAGAATGCCAAACGTGTGACTCTTCCATAGCTGCATGAACATGCATGCATGGAGCTCCCTCTTGCCTGCAGGTTGTCAGCAAGAGAGACCAGATGGTAACTCCTCATGGTCGCTGGCCACCTGTTGCCCAAGCTGTTCCCTGTGAGCAGCTGCTGGTGAGATGCTTGCAGGGGCTGAACTGGGCTGCTATGCTGCTGCTGGCCGCAAGGTGGCAGCTTGGCAGCATGGATTTATTTATTTATTTATTTAGACAACTTATATGCCGCCCCCTCCTGAAAGGGCAAGCTGCTCCATGGATGAGGGCAGCAGTGCTCCTAAGATGCTAGACTAGCAGAGCCTCCGTGCAGCTGATCTGCAAGGGGTTTTTAGCATATTGGTGGCTTAAAAGCACATCTGGGTAGAGGGAAACCTATATTGTCCTATTGCCATCATAAACAGTATCCTCGATTCTGCAAATGGGAATTAGGCAGGTTTACAAGTCTCTCTCCATGGGAGCAGGGTTTAATTTTAGGAATGTTGAGGCTCAAGCAATGTTGGTTTGTTTTTGTTTGAAAGGAAAGCAAGAAGGGCAGGTATCCTTGAGAGAACCTGGAGGCAGAAACACATTAAATGGAATGAAAAGAAAGAAAAGGTACATGGGGAAACTAGAGATTATGTTAGACATGAAAGCCTTAACCTAACATGCTTGTGGTGCATTCTGTTTTCCTGTTTCACCCATGGTACAGGCTTTCTCTTTCGTGATCAAAAGAAAGAAATCTAGCATGCCAGGATTCTGCAGAATGGATAAAAAATTAAAGGGTTCACATTTTTCTGCCCTATTCTTTGTTCAGAAAGCTGTACATAGCCAGAGTTTGCCCTGGGCTTTGCAAAAGCAAGACAGATCTTTGGAGGAGGGAATACACATATGAAAAATGCTCAACATGCTCTCGTTGATGGGTGCAAACATTCAAAAATCTGTAAGAAAATGCTTAAGGATTTTTGTGGAGCGAGAATGGGAATGCTCACAATTTCATGCAGAATGGGTGGAATGACCCTGGCAGTGGAGAAATGATAATCTGAGCAGGGTCCAACTTGGCACGTTTGCACATCAGTACCCTAGGCATGGGTGGGAACTGTAGTTAGGCAATTTTCCCCAACATGGCCCCTTTTATACCTGTTGGACTCCAACTCCCAGCATCCCTCAGCCAGCCATGGGAGTTATAGTCTAATGCATCGGGGAAGCAGGTTGGGGGAAGCTGAAGAACATTCACAGTTAGCAAAAACTAGTAAAACCTTCTCAGAAGGAAAAGACTTCCCATCAGGTTTGAAACCCTTCCTCCCTATGTTTCTACCAGCTTGTATTTGGCAATAAGAAATCTACCAGGAATGAGACTTCAAAATAAAGTGTTGCCCTCAGCCCTCCAAATATCTTTGGCATCCATTGGGCCATTTTTTGCCATTGGGGGCAGCTAGTGATGTCTGATCTTTTCCATGTGCTATATTCCTTCCAAATGCTTTCAGAGCAGCTTTCACTTTACTTTCTAACATTGCAGGTTCTTCCTCATGGGATTGCTTTTCAAAGGAGCCTGTATATTGTTTCCACCTTCTCTTTATTTCATCCTAGTCAGATAATATGTTGCTCTGTCAGACTTTCAGCATTCCTAATCTGGAAGCGGTCTCCTCTTTTTCCTCTGTGTTTTATTTCTCTGAACTGGCCATTGTAGTCATTCTTTTGATTTCTGTGTGATAGTCACTGAAAAGTTGCATTGAGGAATCTGACCCTATTTCTTTCACCTTTTATTTTTGCTTCTTGCCTGTTCTTAGCCATTATGAGTGTATGTTCTGTCATCTGTTTAGGCTTCTTCTTTCTTTTTGGTACAGTAATTGCCTTTCTGTATTCTTCCCTAATAATGTCTCTGGTTCCAGTCCACAGTTTTTCTAGTTCATGGTCAATGGAGGTCAGTAATGCAAATCTGTTATTTTTGTGGACAAGATTCTTCAGAATTTTGTATTTTGGCACTGTGCTTCAGTTAGTGATCTTTTCCAGCTTCACTCTGATTTTTCTTATTATGGGTTCATGATCACTACCACAATCTGCTCCTGGTCTTGTTTTGGCAGGAAGAATACAGATTTTCCATCTTTTACTGCAGTTATGCAGTCTACTTGATTTCTATATTTCTGGTGATACCCATGTATTTAGTCATCTGTATTTGTAATAAACAGATTGTTGATTTTATAGGATTGAATGAGTTCTTCTGCTTTATTTGTGACCCCTAGGCCAAATTCCGTCATTGGATTCTGCTTTGTTCCCTAAATTGTTTTTAGTTGCCTATGATTATCAGCATGTATTGTTTCAAGATATTAGTTTCCTCTTGGATGTTTGCATAAAAGTTTTCAGTTTCTTCTTCAGCATCCGTTGTTAGAGCATAGATTTTAATGATGATTCTGTTAATATTTTTTTTAAAATTCTGACTTGGTTGAACTTTGCATTGTATTCTTTACTGCCTGTGCTACAACTGCCTCAGTATTAAGGCCACTCCATTTATTCTGAGCTTGTCATTTCCAGAGTAAAACACTTGGTTTGTCAGCTGAAAATATGCAATTCAAGTCCACTTTGGTTTGTTCATACCAAGTACAGTGGTACCTTGGCTCACTAACTCATCCGTTCCATGACTCTGGTTGTGACCCAAACTGGTTGTGACCCAAGTCAAATTTCCCCATAAGGTTCAATGTAAATAAGGTGAATACGTTCTGTAACTATTTTTTTATCAGAAATTTTGAAACAAAGTGACAAAGAACAAAGTGACAAAGTACTGTACAGTACAGTGGAGAACACTAACCTAGGTTGGGGGGAGGTTATTGTTTTGAGGGAGAGTCCCCCTCCATAAGGACACTGGGGAGATCTCTTTCAGGGGTTTCCTCTCTTTGTCTCTTAGCTGCAGGGTCAATTTTGGTGAAAAATCTGTCTATAGTCACTTGTTTTTTCCTGCGCTGCATAACCCTCCGGAAATGAGAGACCACGTTATCGTTCATCAGATTCAACATTCTGTTTGTTACATTTATGTTGGGGTGGTGCTTCTCAAAGAAACTCTGGCATGGGCGCAATCTTGGCCATCTCCACCCCCCCAACCAGCATGATCACAGCCATCTTCCCACCCCCCTGAGTGGGGAGATGGCCAGGATCGCAGCTGCGTTCGTGCAGGGAAGATGTGCGTGATCACGGGTGTGCTCCTGCAGAAAAGACGGGCGCAGCACAGCACAGCCATGATCACGCATGTGTTCCCTGCATGAACGCGACTGCGATCGTGGCCATCTCCCCACTCGAGGTGGGGAGATGGCTGCGAACTTGGTTGCCACCCAAAGAGAAGTTCGTGACCCTAGTCAAAATTTTCATGAAATTTTTGTTCGTGAGCCTAGGCGTTCGTGAGCCAAGGTACCACTGTATTGCAATGTTTAACTGCGTTATGGTTTCCAGTTTGCACTGAATCATACTTCCCACTTTCATTGTTTCTAGTGTATTTGTTGTGCAGAATTGGACTCCTTTTGCCTCTGCATGTCAGCCGCTAGATTTGCTTTTGGCTTTGATTTAGGTGCGTCATTAGCAATAGCACTATTTGTACTTGTCCTTTGTTCTTGCCCAGTAGCTGCTTGATTACCTTCTGAACTTGGAGTCTCATCTTCTGGCACCATCTTTTGTTTTATTTTAGATTGTTTCATCAACAATCTAAAGGCAGGGAATTTCAGAAGTGGTTTACCCCTGCCTTCTCTGCAGCACTAACCAGAGTTTGCTTACACCTCCACCAGTGCTGCCTTCAGCCACTGCTGCTGCTTTTCAAGAGTTTCTCTGTTCCCACCACCATCAGAGCGATCCATTTGCTTCTGAAGTGGGTGGAGGTATCTTTGTCTGGCGCCTCAGCTTTGGCCCTTCTGCCTTGGGCAACCCTGCTGGGAAGTCAGAGTTTGGCCCCCTGGTGATATTGCTGTCAGCTTCTCTGACACTCTGGAACTCCCTCACTGCATTAATGTGTGCATGGGGAAAGGGGGTAGTATAATTAGAATAATAACCACTCCCAGTGTTAGCAGCGCTTGCATGTGTGCAGTGGCTTCTCTTCAGGGTGCTACTGATCATGCCCTTCAGTGGTAACAAGGCAAAGGCAATGGATTTAAGTTGCAAAAGTCACACCCTTCTCTTGAGATTGAACCTACTAGAGCACTTAGTCTAGCAGTTTGGAAGGGGCAAGGAAGACTTTTTTCCCCTTCAGCGATTGTTTAGAGCATGAAGTAATCTCCAGACACAACAGCCAAATAATTTGAGCCAAAGAGGGCTGTCCTGTGGAAGTGAGAAACTGCTGCACTCATTTCTTAGATACGACCATCTACCAAATATGGGCCTCTAGTTTTCACCTGGTGAAAGTAAACTGCTTTTGTCTGGCTGTCAGACTTTGCTTTGGCCTATCTCTCATGGGCTTTTTAAAAAGAAGAAATGGTCCAATGTTCATATGCCTGCCTTCCCATACTTAAGCAGCGGCCTTGTAGCCGCTTTTCTGTGAGTGATGCCCATTGGACTCAATAGAACTTATTTGTGAGTAGACTGTGTGGTCAGCCTCAAATGGTCATGTTTATAAAGAAAGACCTTCATCTTTTCTGTTTCTGAAGTCTGCTGAGACGCCTCATCACCCTAATCTCCCAGCATGCCACCATCCTGGCCTCTAACGAAGCCTTCAAGAAACAGGCAGAAGGAGCGAGTGATGCTGCCAAGAAATACATGGAGGAGAACGACAAATTAAAGAAGGTACAGTGCTGAGAAATCAAGAGCTGGGGTCAGAGGGTGGCAAGGAGTGCTCTGGACTGTGCTTTTTTGAAGGTGTTGATGATTCATCAAGGATTTCTAGGGCTCTCTTTCCCTCTGAGATAAAGAAGGCTTGGTGCCTTCTTAAATGAGCTTAGCAGACAACAGTTGCTTGTAAATTGCACTTAACAGCAAGCCATTCCTGTACCAGCAATAAAAGATGCCTTTGTACTGGAGCATATCAAAACACATACTTCATGGTAAATAGGGGCTGTTCTCCTCCCAGCCGGCTATGCTCAGGCTCTCTGCTTATTGGGTTCTGTTGATTCTTTCTTACAACCATAACCTGATGGCATGTCTGCTTCTGGCTGTGTCCTCAGCCTGAAATGTGACCTGTTGCTGGATCAGGAGGTGTTCCTGCTGAAGCCCTGTCACCTAAGGGTGGATTGAAAGTACGATTCTGTTCCAGGCGTGGGGGACTGACAGGCCTTCAGAAGATGGGCTGCAACTTTCATTGGCCATGTTGGCTGGGGCTGATGGAAGATGGAGTCCATGACATCTGGAGAGCCAGAACCTTTTTCACTCCTGTTCCATTTCTTCCTGACTATGGGGAAAATGAAGGGAAAATGACCACAAATGTTTCCTAACAAGAGTTAGACTGAAGAAGCTGAAATGTAGTTGTGGATGTTGCCTCCAGTGCCAAGACATCTTGCACAAATGCACTTTCAGCAGTGTGCTTACCTGATTCCTTGTCAAACTTTCCTTGGATATTGGAATCCAGTAATAGGTGGGAAAGACCAACATGGAACCTCTGCAATATGTGAGCATAACTGGCAGAAGGAAACGAGTTACAATAACTACAAGGAACCTTGCAATAGATGAAGCCCTTACAAAATGCCCTCTAACTACACTCTTATGCTAGCAGCATATCGTATCTGAACAAGTCACATGAAGAGGACTAGCAAACAGGGCTTTTTATTTCTTTGTATTTTGCTGCTTTGTTCTCCTGAGAAGAGAGGGGGAAGAGTTACTGAGTCACAGAACTTGTGAATCATTCTGAAACAATGGAAGTTAAGCATACATGTATGCAGTCGAGGTGTCCATGTAGGTGTTTTGGGGCTTGTGGTCTATAATAGACTGGGGAGAAGTGGGTGAGAGAGATCTTTGGCCCACCAAAAACCTCTAACACCTTTCCTGGGTTAGAGAACAGTCTTTTTTAAGGCACATATTTTTAAAAAGCCAAAATGTATAATAGGATTGGCAGACCCATTTCCACACCAGATTCTTGTGCCTGTGTTATGAATGCACAGATGGTCCTTGAATGTGTGGTTTTGTGTATTTGACTCTAAAGGCAGGAATCCCAAGAGCAGCTTCAGGTGAGCCTGTGGACCTGCAGGCACACCCTTCTCAGGAGCATTTCTGACTCTGATCAGCAGATTTCTGCTGTCCTGCAAACTACCTTGGAGATTCCCCTTGGTTTCTGTAGTGGGAGCCCCACTGCTGTTGTGGAAGTACAGAAGCAAGCCTGGCACAGGTCTGTGTTTCCTGCCCTGGACTTGAGATGCTTGATTTATGAGTTTGCTTATTGGTTTGCATGGTAATCCTATAAGGCTAAGAGCTTCTCTGTTACGCTGTATGCCAGGTCCCCTTTTACGGCAGTAACCTTATCAATGAGTTAATCACCCACTGAGCCACTGAGGCCTTGCCTTCTTCCAGGAATACTCTGTGGGTGATCTGAGCTCCTAGAGTGCTGTACTAGCAAATGTCAAACATGTAGAGCAGCTGGTGCTTCTGCCCCTCCTCCTATTTAGCCTGGCATTAGCAAGAGGTTTGGTGGCACTTGGTTCAAGGCGGTGTCCCTGCCCCCCCCCCCCCAATCTGATGGCTGGGGAACATGTTTTGGAACTAAAGTTCTCACTGCCTGTCCACGAAATATAGGAAGCAATCTTAGGGCAGCCTAGACAGTGTCGTTCTGGCCAGGTCCGGTGAGCCTCAGGTTCATGAACCAAATCAGGCACAGTTGGGCTTTCATGGATGGCCATGCCCACATACACTTGCCACAGGCTTTCCCCAAAATGCTGGTGCTTTGTTAGTTTCCTGACATTTTCAGTTTCTGTCTTAAGTTTGACACATGCTTCCCACAGCTTAGTTGCTGTCAGTAAGGGCAACAAGCTAAAATAAGTGTTTGGGTATTACATGAGTGGAGCCGGGGGGGTCAGACTAGATGGCCCAGGAGATCCCTTCTGACTCACTATGTTTATATGTTTCTATAAGCTGGTTTTGCACTCCCTCCTTCTTTCTTCTAGCTCTGCCCACCAGCAAAATGTGGTCCCTGATTGCTTTCCAAAAAGGAACTTGGTCCTTGGGCTAAAAGATTCTCCATGTTGGTCTATCCCATTTTTATCTATGAGCAGCAGCTCTCCATGCCTTAAATTAAGGTCACCTGATATTGGGGATCCTTCTAATTCCTGATACTCAGGATTGAATGCTGGACGTTCTGAATGCAAAAGCACGTGCCATTTGCTGAGCTCAGGCCCTCACCTCTATTTCAGCTCTGGGTGGGCTTGCCTTCTTCCCCTGAGCACAGACAGCTAACTGGCTGCCACCTCTGAGCACAAAGTAATTCTGGTGGTCCAGCCTACCATGACACCTGTTGCCTGGAAGTGGGTGCAGGAAAGCCAGGGACTAATTTAAAATGAGTAACCCTAACCCTTCCCAGGATGCTGCTGGGGGTAACCAGCTAAAAGGCAGAATGTTGCTGCTGCTCCCTTTTCGCAGCACCTTCTCTCAATTGTGTCTTCTTGCATCATCCTCAGAACCTCATTTTACCCCTTGAGTCTACTTTCCTTGCCTCATAGTCTGCACAGAACCTCCTCCATCCCACCCCCAGCCTCATCAGGATCCAAAAGTGCTGAACTTGAGACAGTCCACCAGAGGGTTGCAGCCCACATGGAAATTCTTGGATTTCAGAATGGGACGACCAGTTCTGTCTTCACATAGACAGTATGTCTGCGAAATGCATGAGCTCTGCCAATAAGTTACCTTGCCATTCCTAAGGGAGTTAATTTTTCTGGGAATCTCCTGCAGCTGCAGCCTCTAATGCAGAGTCCAGTCATTTCTGTAGAATCCTGGCACTTTAGCATTTTTTTTCTTTTCATTTGGAAAGAGAAAGTCTCCCCCTCATAATGGGTGAAACAGAAAGCACTGCTGACATGTTAGGTTAAGACTTTGACATCCAGGGGCTGAGAGTTGAGCACAACTCTCAGTTTCTCCATATGTCTCTTATTTTTATATCTTTCTATTTATATGTTTCTGTCTCCAGTTTTTCTCAAGAGTGCCAGCTCTCCTTGCTTCCTTTCACAACAACAACAACAACAACAACTTCATTTGAGCTTGGGCATTCCTAAAATTTAAAAAAAAATCAGTGGAATGAGGCTTGAAAACTTGCCCAATTCCTATTTACAGAATACAGGGTGGAGGCAGGGCAATTTCAGGTTTGCCTGTACTCAGAACTGCCTTTAAGCTGCCAGTATGCTTAGATGTCCTGTGTGGATCAGCCTCATGGGGGCAGCTGAGAGCCATCGCTTTGGACACCAAGAGAGCACGTCTTGAACACAAGCAAGAATTTTTATGAAGTCAATTAAAAGAGTATATTAGCAGCGATAGCCTTGACCCTCTGAATGGCAGAGGTGGTTGAACATAAGCTCAGATAACTTTCTAAAATGTAGTTGTAAATGTGATGCCAAGATAAAATTGAGAGAGTTGTTTGTGGGTGGTGCTTTATTGCCTGTCCTTCTGACACTGCCCTGGTCTTTCACAGGGTTCTTGAAGAGGGATTCCCTTCTGGGCATCTCTCTTCTCCCTTTACCTGGCACATGGCAGATGGATACAATGAAAGATGAGAAAAGGAGGTGGTGGAAGACTTTCAGCACCCTTGCCCAAGTAAAAGTCCTCATTCTATGGGACTTGCTGGGTGTGTCTTGCATTGCAGAATTGTAATAGCAGCACTCCAGGATGGAAAGGAAGCCCATCTTGCTGTCACCCCTCCTAACTCTCACCACCTCTGCCTGTTCAGGTAAGAGAGTCCCAGGGTCAGTAACCTATAGCAGCTTTCCATGAATTACATGATTGGAATCACTGGGAGGATTAGCTGTATGAACTGCAGCCCTGCTTATTGTTGCACTCACTTTTCTCTAGTAGCAAACTTCTCCACAGTCCAGACCATGTTTCACTAGGGATGGCTGATAGAGTGAGGCCCCTTCCTGGGGCAGAGTGCTCTTCTCTGATGGTGTCCCAGTCTCTTCCTGCCCTGTGACTCCTTGCTCATGATGATGGATGTTGCCTTCTAGTTGATACTGCCTTCTGCTCGATGCCGGGGCAGTGATGGGAAAGGGCAGGCCTGGAGCCCCTGAGCCAGAACTTTCCAGGGCTCCCAGTAGGCATCATGGGAGTAGCCCAGGTCCCTTTGTCCAGCCTGATTGCCTATTATTGTTTTCAGCGTGTGCTGTGGGTGGAGCGTGAGGTAGCACAGCAAGCCCTGTGACCTAAGATTTAGCCTTTGCCAGTGGGTCCAGGTCACGGCCTTGTTAGCGATAGTTTAAAGCTCAACTTTGGATTCCTTGTGGCAGCTTCTCTCCTGCAAGGGTATCTTATCACATGTTGTGGCAAACCCTTTCTGCTTGATAAGTTTAGTTTGCGGTCTTTCTTTCTCAACTGTGATGTCGCATCTTTTGCAGGTTATCTCTGGCAACCCTCTGGAGCAGACTTCCCCACTCTGGTGCCCTCCAGCTGGAAATGTTGGGCTGCAGCTCCCATAGCCCCCATCTAGAATGCTGGGTATTATGGGAGCCATTGTCCAATGCATCTGGAGGATGCCAGGTTGGAGAAGGCCATTCTGGAGTGTTTGTCTACATAGTAGTTTGCATCTTGGACCAAGTAGGTGTGGCAGAGGGGGGTGTTGTTGTTTGTCCAATGGGAGCTTGCCTAGAGGTTGTGTACCTTCCTTTCTGAATGCTGGCCCTGTTGAGGCATTGCTTAATGACTTGGGATGTATAAGGAGGGGCAAGAGGTGCCAGAGCAGAGACTTCCCTGAAAACTTGTGCCTGGGTTCTTGTGGCTGGCTTGATTGGTGGGAATTGTGTACTTTAATAACACAGGGAACTGGTAGAACTCCCACAAATTGCTCCTGTTTGGATAATATAGACTTATAAGTAGTCGCTGGTGTACAGTGCATAAATTCATCCAGGTGAGGCATGAAAGCCCAAGAACTGTCATGTCTTCATATGCATGTGCGTGTATTTTGTTTTAGGGTCACAAGGCAGCTAGCCTTGATTAATAGGCTAGCAAAAGGTGTTTGAGGGCCAGTAACTTTTATGGACTGATTTGGAGGGCTGCAAGAACGCCTTGTGGCTGAAGCCAAGCAAATAACAGGCATTTATTAAAGTTAATTGATAGAGAAGCTGTTGCACATGGTGCAGGGTTAAAACAAAATTTGCTGTCAAAGGATGGTGTGATGGCTGTCTGCTTGGGCGACTTTCAAAAGGTGTTAGGCAAATTCCTGGGGCGTGGCTGCGTCTATTGCCTGCAGTGTCAGAGGCAGAATGCTAAGTGTGAGCGTGCCCTCACACTAATGTCCCGCTTCCCAAGATGCACCTGGTTGGCTATTATCCCAACAGGAACACTGGGCTAGGTGGGCCTCTGGCTTGATCCTGCACATTGTTCCTGATTCATTGTTTGGTTCTTTGCTCAGTCCTGCATGTCCCTCCCACCCCTCCAGTTTCCCAGCTCTCTAGTGAAGATTATATCTAAGGTTACCGTTTCAAAACAGTTGATGAAGGATGCTTGTTAGAACATCTAAGGAAAGGTGGTTTTTCATGGCACTCAAGATGGTGAGGGTAAATGTAACGGAGCAAGTCGTTGCACAACTGTAGAACACACGCCAGGAAAGATTTGCATATTATGTAAGAGAAATAAAATTCCCAGAAACAGTAAGGCAAAAAACAACAGCACAGGCTCCAATATGGCATGCCACAGGCTCGTGAACCTCTTGTATTAATTAAATAATACCCTGGCATTGTGCCCCAAAGTGGTGTTCAAATATTTACCATTAAAACACAGATTAAAAACAAAACCTTAATTTAAAAAATCTTAAAACCAATACATTACAAATAATTAAAAGTAGAATAATGCAAGAAATTAGCAGCAGCCCAGTAATTAAAACTCCCTTCAGCATCAGATGGCTTGCTGATAAAAACATCCTTGACTGTCAGTGGAAACCTTCATTTGTATGTTTGGTGCAATATTTTTAATGCATAACATCAGTACTCTTGAGATGTCACTTCTGTGCCTATCGTATCAGCATTTTCAGTCATAGTACTTGTTTATAGGATATGAACAATGGCTGGAAGGTACAGTGCTTTCTAAACACAGGCTTAATTCAAAGATAAAACATTTTACCAATCTCACCCCTTGCCTATTTGATCCCATCCCAAATCGCATTAGCTGTTTTCCCCTTCTGAAAGGTAAACTTCTCTTTCATAGCCAACATCCCACCATTTTAATTCTAGGCTTATCTTGTCCATTCAATGCTGTATGGAAGCAGCATCCTTTTTTAGGTGAAGTCCACAGCAAGCGAGTGCAGGAGTAGTTGGGCAGGTTTACCTCCTGGTTAGCGGGGATTGGTGGACTCATTGATCTAGCTTTTCAAGGAAGTAGCATGAGAGAGGGGACTTAAAGTGCTCTGAAAATGCACATGAGCTTAAAGATGAGCTCTGCCAACAGGGCTCTAAATTGGGACAGCCCCTTAAGGGCACTCAAGTGCCTTCTATACCTGCCTGCCTTGTGCAGCCTATAGCAGCTTTTGGGGTAGGGGCACAACATCTAGTCTCAAGAGTCTAGACATACATTGGTTCAATGTTAACTTGGCATGTTTTTTTTTAAACTGAAAGCGCATGGTGTCCCAGAACTCCTTCCTGGGTTGTCTGCTATGGTGATTTTTCTACCTTTGTCCATGTTGGCCACCTTCACTGTATCAGGGAATGGGTTGGGACTGTGCATGTGGATTGGGAGAAAGGAGCTGCAGAGGTCAAGGTGCTCTCATGTGTCCATTGGTGGACTACAAGCCACATGCTGCACTCGCCTTCAGCACAGCCCCCACCACTGACAACCTCTATTGTGGATAAATTGGTTTCTTTTGGAGGGAAATAACCTCCATACCTCCCGGGAGTACTCACAAGGTAAATGTAACTCTTTTTTTTTTTGCAAGTGAAATCATTCCCTGGAGCTCATAACAACTGCAGAGCCCTAAAATAAGTCAAGCGCATTTTTGAAACAAGTTAAATTTGACCTTTCTTGCATGCTACAGGTGCCATTTTTCCTTTAAAAAATCAATTCGTAACCATTCTTTTTGGAGTTGCTTGACAGACTCTGGCTCAAGGGGTGGGAGGATTAAAATATCCCCTGTACATTCCCCAGAGTTTATCATCCCAATCTAAAGATATTGAGACTTCCCTGAAATCTGGTTCCTTCTACAAATGCAAACTGAGAAACCTTAACTGTTCCAGGAAAGACCTGGATGCTTCTGGTTCTGAGAAGCTGATCCCAAAGCAGTTCTGGGGAACATCTGGCCTTCAAGGTGTTATTGGACTGCAGCTCCGGTCATCCCTCACCCTGGCAATGCCGGTTGGGGCTGATGAGAGTTGCAGCCCACTTACATGTGGCGGGGGCCTACTTTCCCCATCATTGCTCCAGAGGGTGAGAATGCCATTCCGTGTCTCATTGCCCCATGTAGCCTGTCTCTCTTCCCCTCCCTCAATGCCCAGGAGCTGAAGGCAGCAGGAGTGGAAGTAGCGGATCTGGACACCAAAGGAGCTGACGTTGAGGAAGACAACAAAGCCCTGAAGGCTGAAGTCAAGGAGCTGAAGGAAGAACTGGCCTCCACCAAGAGAGGTGAGAATCTGAAGATCATGTGTCCTTCCCTGAAGGGGTCAGGCAGAGCACCCGCTTGCTCCTGACCACAGCATGGCTCTGGTTGCCTGGCGGGCAGGCCCAGTTTCCCTGCCACTCCACTGAGTGGGGAAGCAGACCGCCTGATTTGTTCTCCCATTGCCCAAATTCTGCACAGCTGGCTCACCAGAGCTGCAAGGAGTGTAAGGGCGATACAGTATCTATTTATATCCCTCGAGCTGTATGTCCATGTGCTTTCCTCGTGTCCTAGCGCCAGATGCCCTGTCCCTTCCTTTCTGCTTAAAATAGTCCCCTTAGCATCGAGTAGTGGAATAGATGGACCTGCCCCAAAGCATTTGTTTGTAAACACTTGGGTTTCTCTCGAGTCACGAGGCTGGCCCTTCTCTGCCCACTTCTCTGTAAAATACTCCTTGGCTTTGGCATTCACCAGTGGCTTATTAAGGAGGATCCTGATAGTGGGGCTGCTTCTTGGGAATATTCCTTTCCAGTTGCTTATGCCATTTGAGAATTTCAAGTGCATGCGCGGAAGGGCAGGCCTGACATGTTTTGCAACTCCTTTCCAACACCCAGATTTTGAAACCATTCTCTTCTGGGCTTTTTGGCCTCGAAATGCCTGTCTGAATTGGTGTGGCTCGGTTCACACCTTAATGCCAGGCCAGTGGTAACTCCAGATTTTGAGGGCCCTGACATGAGGTGCCCTTAGCAGGCCCCCTCCTTCTGTACACCTGCCTTTTCACTGCCGTTGGCTTCAGCTTCTCTTGCTCCTCTGCCTCTCTTCTGCCACCTGCAGCTTGCTGGCTTGGCAAGCAGAGAGCCGGGGACAAGGAGGAGGTGGGAAGTGCGGCTGCTTCTCACTGCATCCTTGCCTGGGCCAGAGCAAGAGGCTGGAGAGCCAGCAGGTTGCTGTGATGATGAGGAGGCAGAGGCCGGGGTGTCTTTTCAGGGGGCCCTGCTGGGATGTGGGCGCCCACAAGGGCCTGTGCATGCCTCTCCTTGTTGTCAACCCTCCTGAGAGTCATCATATTGGGAGGTGGCTGTCACAGGCAGCGAAGACTGGAGGGAGAGCTCTCCTGCACAGGCCTCTGTGAAACCAGCGGAAGGTGTGCAAGAGCGCAGCAGCAAAGGGGGAAGTGTGGCTGCTTTGGATCTTAGGCCAGGCCCAGAGCAGGCAGCTGCTTTTCGGTCAAGAGAAGCTCTCCCATGCTGGTGGTAGGGGAGTGGGGCACAGGGGCAGAGCCAAAAGTGGATGGGTTACGCTTTCTCTCTTATTTTCTTTCTTCCAATCTTTTCCCCTTCCCCTCTCTTTTGCTGCTCAGAGTAAGGACAGGGGTCTGAACTGATCTCACTCAGAGGGCTTTTGAAGTCATGTTGTCGGCCACATAAAGCTGGCCCTGTGACGGGGGATCGCCCCACCCAGGGCTGGGTTCTGGTGCAGCTTCCTCCCTTTGCCTCCTTTCTGTTCTGTCTCCCCCCACCCCACCCCGCCAGAACCAGATTGTGAGCACTGCAAGAGGAGGAGCGTTTTTGTTGAGGTGGGGTTTTTTGCATGTGACTGTGTGTCTCAGCCTCATAGCTAAGTCCTTGGGGCACTCCCATGGACTTTGATCTACTTGCTGTAGAGTGGCTGAGCTGTCCCTGATAGGGAATAACGTGGCACATGCACCTGAATGTAAAAGCAACGGGTGGGACGTGAGAGCTCGGCTCATGACAGGCCTAGCTGTTTCAAGGCCAGGCAGTGGCCAGTTGGTAATTAGCAGCTTCCTGTGAGTGGGTAGCCGGAACTCTTGCTGCCACCAAGCACTAAAATAAATGGGGGTCTGCTGGTTGGGTGATTTTTATTAGCATTATGTCTCTAGTGGGGTTCAAATAGGTATGTTACGTTGTTGGTTTGATTGAGTTTTATTTATAGTCACAGGCCACCTTAGATGCCATCTTTTTTGCTAGCAAAGTAGGGGAACAGATTAGGGGCCTGCTCTCAATGTGTTGCATGACTAGTTTGCTTTGAGTGGAGGCTGCTCTGGGCAGAATTTTTAAAATATTTATTGCGATGAGCAGGACAGCTGTATGGGCCAATCCTGACTATCCTCACCCCAAGAACCCCTGGGAAGTTTGCCTGGCACAGTCTCGATTACAGTTTCAGTGCCAAGCAAAAATGTTTCTTTTTAACATCTTTTTAGTAATTGATCCTGCCCTCCCCTGCACTGCTGCTTTGCGTGGTGTTCTTGTTAGGTTTTAGATTTAGATAATGAATTTTTTATTCTTTATTTCAAATGTGTTTTTATCTTTAAGTTTCCTTGAGTAGGCGACACATGAAAGACAGACAGACAGAATAAATAGTAGTTCAGGGAATTGGGTGGACAGCTGGATCTTGACCCTTGCAGTAGCCTGAGAGACTCCCTGCCCACCCACCTTCTGAGTGTTTCACAAAAAAGCCACCTTGGGGACAGCAGCTGTTCTTAGCTGCAGTATCAGCCAGTCTGAACAGCTTTCCTGGATCGCATTTCCAGAGTCAGCCAGTCTGAGGAGTTGACATCAGCCCTAGAGGAATGCCACAACTGAGCAGTCCTCAGTGGTCATGGCACCCTGACCTTCTCTGCATAGAACGGGCTTGTGCAATGCTCCAGCCTGGTTTCCAGTCCCGCTTCCCCAGTCCCACCTGTTCAAATGGCATAGTGATATGGCAGGCTAGTACCGCACCACACCTTGGGCAGTGCTTCAGAGAGATGAGTGCGTTCACACATGGTGGTCAAGAGGTCTCCAAGCTTGATATGGCCTTGCCCTATATTTGGGGTGGAGGGGCGGAGTGCAGCAGAACAGCTGTTCGTGCATGCCTGGGTGGATGGGTATGTCACTTTTCTAGCCTGCCCTTTATATAGTCATTGTAAGGAGGGAGGTCAGGGAGCGACGCTCCATACCTTCTGCCCACTGCCAAGCACTCAGCTGGTGCCAACTAGCAAGAGGCAAAAAAGCTGCTAAGTTTGGCAGGGCTGCCCCTGCAGAGTGGAGGTGCTCGTGTTTCTCCCCAGCAAGCAGGCGCTCTTCTGCCTGAGGACAGGTCTTCAGCCACTTCCCTACCTGGTGTCTGCCGCATTTCCCACAGAATCCTCAAAGACAGAGAATTCACAGAAACACACGCTTGTGGGAGAGTCACTAATGATTCACTCTTGGCACTGTCAAGTAGAGGAGGCTGCAGGATGAGCATTTTATCCGTGGATTTTTAAGGCTCCAAGATCCCTGTCTTGCTTGTCCTGCCACGGCCATTGCCACAAAAGAGGCTATCTTGAAGAAGAGCTAGTGTGGCACAGCGGGCTTGGCAGTCAGGCTGCATGCTTATGAAATCTGATTTGAGTTCCCAGCTCAAACAAGTCCTCCAAGTCCCTGGCATGCATGTATGGCAAAAGAGGTGCACAAAAGTGGTGATTGTAGCGGGATGGCATTTCTGCCTTCCAGCCAACAAGGGGCCAAATGCTCCGAGTCCTCCTGCATCTCTCTTCCAGGCCTGCATCTGACAGTAATCAGTAATGGGGTTTCAGTGCTTCTGGTAATGCTAATGCTATCATGGGAAACCTGCCAGCTGTGCTGGGACTTGGAGCTCCCCTCTCCTCTCATGGGCTGCTTCCTCGCAACATCCCCTTGAGCTACCACTAAAAGATTCTCAAAGGATCCCAGGGGTGCCGCTGTTGGAAGGGGACATACTGAATGGTTGGGGGACTTGGGAGAACAGCTTCTGTCCCCTGCCTCACAGAGCGGGCTGGCCTGTATGCTGTCAATCCAGAATGGATTTTTCCTCCCACCCTCCCTGGGAGAAACTTAAAAAGCGATAGTCCATGCATTTTAATACTGTGTCTTTGAACCACTTTGTGAACTACATTAGGCTGAGTGAGAAGCCTCTTGAGTGAAGTTCAGCCCTTTATCCACCACGCAGGTTTTCCCTGTTAGAACTGTCACCCCTTGCTTTTGTATTTACGGTCATTACTGGAATTGTTTTTCCTCTCCTCTCCCTGATCCAAGCGTGCACTGAAGGCAGGCAGAGGCACAAAATAACCCAAGAATGAGTACAGCCAAATGATTAAAATAATGACTGGGTTCCTGTGACAAAGCACAACTGCCATGGCTTATTTAAATGGTTCTGTGGGTCAGGCATGGTTTGTGCAATCTCCACCAGGGTATGACTTGTGCTGTCCAAAGCAAGGCAGTATGGTTTGGAGGGTTCTTGGAAAGTTGTTCTCCCTCCATGGGGTGACACGACAAGCTGCAGTCAGGTAGTGCTTTTTGGAATTGCCCCCTGCATGGCTGACAGTGATCACAACCACCAGGTCAGTGATGTTCTCTTGTTCCCTTTTGAAGTGTATGTTTTGTTTTGTCATTCCTGATGTGTGCTGAAGAGCTATCTAGAGTTTGGCATTCTGTATCTTTGGCTACAAGTTACTGCTAGGCCAGGCCAGATTTTTCAGCAGGAAAGGAATATCTTGGGGCAGGTTGCCAGGGCAAAAGCACTCTGGTCCTCTGAATTGATCCCTATGGCCTTCGACAAACAGGAGGAGCTCCACTGTGACATCCTTATCAGATACAGAGCTGGTGCCAATTCAGCTTAACTGTGGGGATTTAAAAAATATTTAATAGGTTTCTATTATTCTTTCCTGCCAAGGCACCTAAGACAGTTCATACTTTTTAAAATACTGAAACCAGTGTTATTAATAACTATAGTTCTGTCAGACCGATTGGAAATGTCTCCAGGAGCCAGTGGCCTGAGCTTTCCATTCTGAGCTACTTTTCTTCCCTCAAGGCAGGTAGATCTTTAGTGACCTCCGCAAACCAGTGGGCAGACTGCCTTGGCAGTCCTCTTCAGCCACTGATGGTGCAAGTGACGGCTCACCTGAGTCCTCTGCTAGCAGGAGCAGAGTTGGAAGAGGTGATTCTTGATTCTCAAACCCAACTCTCCTTGGATGAGAGAGGTTGCAATTTTTCCAATCCTGAAGGAGGTGAGGAGAAGCTCTGATCCGATGCAGAGAACTTCTCGTTAACCTGGAACAGGCTTCTCCTTTCTCTGTTCAGGGATGTGCTGAAGCATGCTCACCCACCAGCCCCTGGGGGAAGACTGGGGTGGTTGCTGGCTGGGATTCGGGTGTGGAGAGGGCTCTGATGAGTGCTGTTTCTTCCTCTTCCCTCTCAGTTTTGGAGAAGGCCAAGAGCGAGGCACTGGCCATGCGCAAGCAGGCTGAAGGACTGACCAAGGAGTATGACCGGCTGCTGGAGGAACACGCCAAGCTTCAGGTGCCCACGGCAGGGGAGCGGGGATACTCCAGTGGGAGTGAGTCAAGGAAGGCCTGGCAGGAGGCTGCTTGGTGCTTGGCTGTGCTGCTTCAAACCTGCAGTGAAGTTGTTTCTTCCCCACACAATCTCCCCCCACCCCTGCTTGGGACCTTGGTGCCAATGCAGTTCAAAGAGACATTGGCTGCCACAACAAGAGAGTGGTGCTCGGGTGGTAGGTGGAGGAAGGCATCAGGAGTGTGAGGGTCTTTTTGCTCAGCTGATTGGTTGCAAGAAGTGTTCATCTCTGACCGATCTTGGGAATGCAGTGCCATGAAGGGGGTGGGCAAACATGTGGTTGATGGGCTGCAACTCCCAATCCCCCCACCATCGTATATTCTGGCCAGGACTGATGGGTGCTGTGGTCCAACAGCCTTTGGGGGGCCACTTGGTGCCCGCTCCTGGTCCACACTCGCCGTCCTCTCAGCCTGGTGCCCTCCAAATGTCTTGAACAAAACCCCCCAAGCCCCTAGCCTACTGATGGGGATTAGACTCTAAAACCTTTGGCGGACACCAAGTTGTGTAAGACTAGTCTACACTTCACTGGGGAAGGAAATTTGATTGTGTGTGTTTTTTTAAATGTATGCCAGCTCTCCTCAGAGCTCAGACTGGGGCGTAGTTGGGCAGCCCTTGCTGCATCAAGGAGAGAGGCCGTCCACTGCAGGTCGTCTGTCTGTCTGTCTGTCGGCATGTGTGAATGTGTGTGCACAGCAGCTCCTTGCGTGTGTTGCACAGGACACTCCGGTTGGGCTGCCACTCTCCCTCTTCTCCCACCCAGGCTGTTGAGGGGCTGGACGGGTTGTACAGGGTTAAACCGTGAGCCCACAACAAACTTCCCGCATTGCCACACACACGCACACAAACGAGTTTAAAAATAATCTGGCCTCCGTTGCTGGGGAAACGTAATCTCCACACAGGGAGGCCAAGAGAAGGATGTGGCACAGCCTTGCCCTGGCTCCTCCCCATCCTTCCCGCACTGGTTGGGTGCCTGCAAGGGAGCAGAACCAGGCTGACTGGAATCCTTCCTGCTGAACACCCTCCAAGTCTGTGGTGGCACGTAAGCAGATCATGGGATGCTGCCTCACCTGGCAGCTGGTAGTGCTGAGTGGGTTGAGGGTGGAAAGCACAACCCTGAGCTGGCACCACACAAGGAAATGCCTGTGTAGGGCATGCGTGGCGGGGTGGGGACCCTTTATTTTGCTGTTAAGCTGGCTGGCTAGAGGGCACAGTTCTGCCACAGGTGCGAGCTGGAGGATGTCCCAGGGCTTGCCTGGGCTAGGCCTGACTTCAGGAGCTATAAATTATAATGGTAGCTTGGAAACAGAGCAGTGACAACCTAGATTTATTAGAGGTGTCAGAGACCAAAGAGCCATTCTTGCTCCCAGACAGAGCTTCATAAACTGCAGAAGGGAGGAATTCATCTTTCCCCCTTTCTCTACCACCCCATGTGTCTTTGGTAGCTGGAAGTGAGAGGGGCTTTCTTCCAGCCCAGATTATGTAAAGCCGCTCTGCATTCCCACCCTCCTCTTCATTGAGATGCCGCCCTGCTTGTTATCCCAGTCCTAATTAGAAGCCCCCTTGGTGCAAGGGGGATTTTGGACCTTGCCTATATTCACCTCCTGTCGGTCTGGTGTGGGACGGAGGATATTGCAAAGGGTGAGGGTGGCAGCAAGGTCTGTCTTAGCCCCTTTGAATTGCCTTTGGGCTTTGAGCTCTGAGGGTCTGTGGGGGTGGAAATAGGGCTCTCCACCTGCCCCTGCTCTCTTTGATTTCTGTGGACCCTGAAAAGAAGGATGTGGAGCTCTCTTGGTGAGGACTGGGACCATACTACCTCTCTCTCCTTCCTGGGCCTCAGGGCAGGCATCCCCAGACTGGCACCTCCCATGCTTTGCAGTGTGATACCCAGCATTCCTCACTATTGGCCATGCTTGCTGGGGTTGATGGGAGATGCAGCACCAGGCTGGGGAGGGCCTCTTCAGGGTGGTGCAGTGTCATACTTTTGTTCTCCCTCCCCCCCGCCCCAAGCTAACACACTCGATGAGACTCGGCCCTTTGGAACGTATTTGCACCAGCCCAGCTCCTTCGTGATTGCTGTGCGCATAGCTGATTCTTGAGGGCAGTCCCCACAAAGCAATCCGCACTATTCAGCGAGTGCCTTCTTGGCTTTGCCTGCTGCAGCCGCTTGCTGCTTTTCCTCCATCCTCCCTGTCAGCCCAGCACAAGTGTGGTCCTGTTGCCCAGTGGGTGGCAGCTTGCCTTGCCATCTGCCTAGAAATACGGCCTGTGCAGGGTGGTGGCCTTCCGGGCTGGTGCATCTGAGGATTGCCTACTGCCCGCTTGCAAGGGCTGGCGTAGCCCAGAGTCATCCGCAGGAGCAAGATTCTTCACCTGGAGATACTGGTGGCTGTTTCAGCCACTTGCATGCACTTGATTCCAGGCAGCACCTGCTGACTCTGTTAAATGCTGTAGGTGCATTCGTCAAAGGGAAGAGATCCTAATTTGCATCTCGGAAGATGGTTAGAAGCATGTGGCTTAGGCAGGACCACTGAAGGTGGAAGCTGAAGGGATAGGGGAAAACAGGAGCCTTCTCCAACCTGGGGTTCTCCAGACACAACTCCAGCACAACTCCCATCATCTCCAGCCAGCCCGAATACCTCTGGCTAGGGGTGATAGAGCTTGTAGTCTGGTACATCTGGAGGGCCTTGAGCGCCATCATCTCCAGCCAACAGTGGCTCTGCTTAAAGTTCGGCATACCTAGAAGACACTAAGTTGGAGAAGGCTGCTGTACACCAGATGTTCAGGACTGCAGCTCCCAGAAGTCCCTGCCAGCATGGCCAACAGTTGAGAATGCTGGGAGTTAAAATTCAAAGCCACTCTGGCCTTACTTTCAGCCCAGCCCAGCCCAGCCCAGCCCAGCCCAGCCCAGCCCAGCCCAGCAGCATCTAAGTGGAAATTCCTTACCTCAGTGGGCAAGGTCTCCTACTGAATACATCTTTCTTGCACTTGTACACACCCGCTGTCTTCACCTTTGCTGCTGCCACCACAGCTGAAAACGCCCTGCAGAGTGCTGATGCGGCTGTCTTCCCTTGCCTGAAGTTCAAGGGTATGCCTTCCCGTTACCCTTCTGTTCTGCCTTGTCCAGTTGCCCATGGGAAAGAGGTTGGGATGAGAGACCAAGAAAGGAAGAGGAATGCTAGCCTCTTGTGGGGCAGCAGAGCCTCTCCATGCATGTCCTGAAAAGGGGCCAGAAAGACTAGCCAGTTCACGGGGGCCCCCAGCAGCCCAGCCTCCTTCGCCCACATGGCTGTTCTGGTCACTCCTTTTTGCTGCTTCCAGCTGCATAGTAAATATTCCCACATGGAGCTGGGTGCCTTTCCCCCTTGCTGCCCCCAGGATTGCGGTGAAAGGCTTGGCGGAGCGGCAGGGCTCGGTCACAGCTGCCCTGTCCCTCCTGGACAGCTGCTGGGCAAACCGCATTCCTGCCCAGCTGAGCACGATGCTTGGGCAGTGTGGCCCTGCCCTGTGAGCCGCTGCTCTGCTCCCTCAGCCTCTTCAGATGGGATGGTTGGGAGGCCTGACTCAGGGGCGAACTGCAGTGCGGCTGTGCTATTCCAGTTAATACGTGGAGAGCATGCAAAATGGCTGCTCTTGGAACAGTGATCTTCAGATGGATGCTGCAGCACGTGGCTCTCAAGTGACCCGTCTTGCTGATTGCTGTGATCAGCTCTAGCACAGTGACAAAGAAACTTGTGCTATGGATCGCGATGCACCCAGTCTGAATCTTACCTCTGCCATGAGCTCAGTCTGAGCCGAGCAGCACTCTCTCTGTCTCAGCTGCAGCCTTGTTCCCATTCCACAATACCAACGTACTTGACAGGACTGTTGTGAATATTAGCATAATTCTGATTCTGCCACTGCTGAGCAAGGGTAAGAAGCCATACTGGGGCAGTAAAGCCCAGCACTGGAAATCCTGCTCTGCCATTCTTTCTGGTTACTAAGGATTTCAGCAGGTTTTGCCCATGCACTTGCAAGCTTATTCATAAAGACTGCAGACTTGTTTATAAAACAAAAAGCCAATCCTCAAGATGGCAAATTCTATGCCCTATGCTTTGTGTCCCACAGAACTGTAAAATGTTTGCAGCCCTGCCTAACTTCTGAATGTGTGTGCGTGTGTGGTGTTGTGATGGGGATACTGGAAGACGTACTCAGCAATGCTCAGCATTGGGCAGTGTGCCCTAACCAGCATTGGGCATGTATGACAGGGAGGCAAACATTTGAATGATGTGCCTAAGAAGGAACAGCTCATGACCTTGTGGAATAGAAAGGACAACGGCTTGAATGGGACTCTTGCATCACTGGCCAGCTGGGCGTCGCTCTGTTGTTTATATTTGAGCAAGCAGTCTTGTGACTGGCCTATTGTGATCCTGAAGTGACAGGGAGCTTTTATTTTGTTTCCAGCCATGGAGTTTCCAGCAGCTGCACTAAGGAGCTCTGTGCATGTTTTAAGTAGGGTGCTGTCTGTGCCTCGCTTCTCTAAGAGTGCAACAGAAGCACAGCATATGGGAAAGGGTGCAGAAATCAGCTTCTCAAGAATCTAAAGGATTTTGTCAAGTTTCTAGACCTTAATTACAGAGGTTGGCAACTCAGGGTAGCAGAAATGTTTTTTAAAAATTAAAAAAGGCATCCAGAGCACTACAGGTGCCACATCTAACATTTTAGCAGTTCTGGAGTGCTGCAAGTGTCAGATGAAGTTAGCAAGAGGGCTTGGTTTAACTCTTGCAGCATGGGCTTAGGGAGTACTATGGCTCATGACTGAATTTGGACAGCAAATCACCAATTCGTTTGGATTTTGTTTTGGAGGGAGTGCAGTCTCCAAGGGAGAACATATACTAGCCAAAATGGCCCCTGGAGCCTCCCAGCCCAACATCTGGGTGCCTGCTTGAATGTATGTGAGGGTGGCAGTTGATGCACGCTCAGAAGCTGGATGAATGGTGCCCACTTATCCTGGTCTCTTCCCCTTACTCGTAAACGTTGCAGAATGGACTTTGCAAACTATTATCTGTACAGGTCTGAATTCAGATTTCTTCTTAACACACAGTGTGCACACAGCCTGGTAGTTCTGTCTGTGAAATGGGAAATGTGCTGTTCTTGTAATACCATCTTTTGTCCTTTCCCCCTCTCCTTCCAGGCTTCTTGCGATGGCCCAAGAGACAAGAAGGAAGAATGAGTCTCATACCAGTGATTCTGCCCAGTCTCCATCTGGCTCTGTTTTGCAGTGCATTAATCTTTTTTTTAAGGGGGCCTCTACACCGCTCCCTCACATCCCGGGCTTGGTTTTGAGGGGTGTACTCATCCTACCGTTCTCTCCTCTCCCTCCTCTGTCTTCCTACACAATCCTGATGCCATAGCTTTTGAGTCCAGTGCTAACTCGTCCCCTCACCCCTCCTTCTCCTGCCCTTGCTGTATCCTAGGTAAGAGGCTGGCAATGTGAAATATTATTGGCCTGATCTGCATCCCAGGGGATTTTTTCCAACAGGAGTGGGGAGGCAGATGGGGCTGGGCTACTAGGCCAAGGCACACTGGGGAGTGCTGTGTGACAGTCGACTGACTGTCTCAGGACGCACGCTTGCTGCTGCCCCCCGTTTTTCAGTGGTGCCTGCTCCCCTGGGCTCTGGGCATCCCTCTGCCCCGTCCAAAGTGTAAGAAAATAAGTGGGGCATGTCCCGTGATGCCCAGGTGCTCCTGATGATAATGCCTGGGCATGAGGGGAAAGACCTGCTCTGTATCTGCGTTATTTTATATTTACAGACACAGTGGCTGTACAAAGCTTCTCATTAAATCTATGGAGTAACTGCCTTGTTGTGGTTTCTGGGTGAAATGGGGGCAGAAGAGCCTGGTTGCCTTCTGAGGTCTGGATTAGCGGGATGGAGGCCTCAGGATGTTCATGACTTCCTCTAACTGGCTGGACTCAAAAGCACACCCTTGGTTGCCTCTGAAGACAAAAGCTGCTGCCCTGCTTGGCCATGCTGTCTGAGCATGCCTTTTCACCGCTCAGGCCCGAGTCATCCTCAAGGGCTCTGATCCTTGGTCCTTTTGTCCTTCATCTCCCTCTTAGGTCATCCAGGTGCCGAATCAACAAGCTGCTCCTGTGTGCAGTGCCAAAAGGGTACCCACAGGAGACGCAGCTTGCAGGCCCATCTGAGCAAGGAAAGTGAGTCTTTCTAAAAGTGAAAATGGGGGGGGGGTGATAGCTGGTTAAGCTGGAGCAGAATAAATGGGATCCTGGAAAAGGGAACACATCTTTTGCCGAGAGGATTAGTTAGGGTTAAGCATTTAACCAAGGAAGTGGAGGGAGTGAAAAATGCAAGTGATGATAGTCAGGAGTGAGAATTCTCTCCCCCAGGCAGGGCTGCCCTTGGGCAACATGGGTGCAATTCCAGTCCCAAGCAAGACAGGAAGACTCTGTCAGAGAGTGAGGGTCTTGCTGTACCTCAGGCAGGGATGAAGGAGATTCTGGTTGAGCTTCTTCCCTCTCATTAGCAGCACCTTTACTAGATAGGCTTTGGTGGGGAGGAGGCTGCTGTTTTGGTTAGGCTGTCTAGGAAGCTGCCTTTATCTCAGACCACTGAACAATGGGCCCATATGTTCCTCAAAGTTCCCAACAAGTGAGGCCAGGTTCACCACCCTCTGCTCATTCTGGTCCGAGCTGCCTAATCAGCATAATCACAATGGTTGGCAGGAACCCAGCAACCCTAAAGCAAGTCCTTAGATTCAGAGGGGCTTGTAAACTATCCCAGCCTGCCAACTTCACAGGCTTTGGACATCATGAAAACCCATATCCTTCTAGAGTAATTATGCTAATTAGGAGGCCAATGGCTGTGTGACATGTTTCCATCAAAATTGCTGCTGCTGTGCACGGTTGATTATTTCACTGATCCATGTAGAAGAACCCCAAGAACTCTTGGTCACATCCAGTTAAGATTCCTTAGGATATTTCAGTGGAAGTTAAGATCTTGGCTTCTGTATGCAGCTGTGTGTCTTAGTTTGAGGGGTGAGTAGATGGGCAGCGCCCTTCAGGGAGAAGAAAAAGGGGTGGGCAAGGGAGAGTGAAGGCTAAACTCTCCTTCTCTGCACTGGAATTAACGGAGGACCCTCCAGCAAATTTCTTAGAACAAAGCTGGGAGAACAGACTACAGATTTCCTGCCTGGAAGAGCTTGATGCAGATGCTTGAAGGACCTGCTATGTTCTTAAGTATTTAAGGATACAGGAAGTGCCAGGCTGGGCCAGAACAAAGGTCTGTGTAATTCAGTATATTATTTATGCTCTGGCAAAGCAGCTGCCTGACAGAAGTGTCTGTGCATTTAGCATCCTCCTCCTCATATTCCCCAGCAACAGGTGCCCACAGGTAAACTTATGGGAGGTGGTACATACCCATCCTGACTAGTGACCACAGATAGTTTTCTCTTCCATGATTTTGCCTAATCATGGGCTGAAACATCAGAAGGGCTGCAAGCAGCTCACCTGTGCCCTAGAACCTGAGATCTCAGAGAGTCCTAGGGAGTGCATTATGTTAAGAACATCAAAGAGACACCCAATGCATGTTTAGACAGAACAAAAGGCCTACGACATCCCAGCATGCACTCAGGCGTGCTGGGAGATGTAGGCCATTTTTTGCCTGCACATGCACGGGATTGTGTCCTGCGTCTGAACTGAATTGGGCAAAGCTGTAACAAAGGTGGTGTTGCTGAGGGAACATAATTTCACAACTGCTTCAGAGGAGAGGTGCGTGACAACTGGCAGGAAGTAAGACTAGTCTCACTGTGCTCTTGGATGGGAAAATGTGGTGAAATGAGAAAGCACACTGGAAGAGCTAGTTCCTACCTGTAATCTGTGAGCAGTCTTGTAGATGAATACCATGGCATGGATTGTTCTAACCTCACTTGGTGACTTGTGACTTGATGACTCACAGATGAGTTGCCCCTGTTGAAAAGTATCAGGCCAAAGGAAGCCCTATGAAAGTTGCAGCTTAGGAGTATTTGATCTGCAGTCACTGGTCTGCCTACACAGGTCATGGCCTTCTGCACAGTGATGAACAAGAATGTCACTGAATCATAGAATAGTAGAGTTAGAAGGGGCCATGAAGGCCATCGGGTTCAACCCCCCGCTGCTGCAGGACACCAAGTTACACCATCCCGTTCAGATGGCTGTCCAGATTTTTTTGAATGTCTCTAGTGTGGGAGAGCCCACCACCCCTCTAGGCAGCTGGTTTCACTGTCATTTTTCTCTGACAGTAGGGAAACTTTTCCTGATATCTAGCCTGAATCTGAACCTGAATTGATTTTTTACACGTCCTGCACTCTGGTATCAGTGAGAAGAGATCTTGATCTTCCTCTTTGTGACAGCCTTTGAGGTACTTCTGGAGGGATATTTTGTCCCCCTTTAGTCTCCTCAAGGCTGAACATACCCAGATTCTCTCACTCTCCCCTCATAAGCCAGTGTTTCCAAACTCTGTATCATTTTTGTTGCCCTCTTCTGGACCCTTTCTCATTTTTCTGCATCTTTCTTCAATCTTGGTGCCCAGAACTGGGCAAAGTATTTCAGATGAGGTCTGAGTAGTGAGGAGTATAGGGGAACTGCTTCTTCTATTGTCCGTGTAGTCCTGTGGTGCCCACAATGTATGCTGGATTACAGCCTTTGTTGGCCTAGCCAGTGGTGGGAGGTACAGTCCAACAGAGAAGAGCACCAGGTTGGGATAGACGGCTAATTGAAGAAGGTGGGATCTGACTTCTGCAGAGCGTGCATTTGCTGTCCTGTTCCCTCCCCAAGAGAAATGGATCTGCTGGTGCTCAGCACCCATCCTGTATGCTTAGGCTTACCTAGCAATGATAGCACATCTTTAAAAATGAAAAGTGGAATGGCTTCAACCAGCCTGATCAGTTTGTTATGAACATCACTACTTCCATCCTTCCTGCTTCAGTCTTCCTTTCCAGAAGATGCTTGGCTGTTGGAGTTTCTGTGGGGCAGGAGCTCTAATGCTGTGGCATTGCAATGGAGGCTGCTGTTCCTGAGCCTGGGTGCCATTTTGGCAGCCCTGTCAATCTGCCATTCCCTTTTCCAGCTCCAGATGTGTAGGACTATTACTCCTATCATATCCAGACAGGATAGCCATTTGAAGGATATACAACCAGGATCTGGTTGCAAGCAATGTGTATTTATTTATTTAATTTATTTTATTTATATCCTGCCCTTTTTCCTTCCAAGAAACTCAAGGAGACTTACATAATTCTCCTCCTCCTCCTCTCAATCTCATCCCCACAGCAACAACTTTGTGGGGTAGGTTGGGCCAAGAGTCTTTGATTAGCCCAAAGTCACCCAGTTGGCTGCATGGCTGAGCAGGGACTAGAACCCAGATCACTGGAGTCCAAGTCCTGTGCTCTTAAGCGCTATACCACACTGGCTCTCAGAAGCTAAAGTTAAGAGCTTGTCTTGTACCGTATGTACCGAACTGGGACATAATGCATAGAGGGATCAGGGATTTGTCTGTTTCACATGCCGAGAGCTTTGTGCTTTTTCAGCACAAAAAGGACGTCTTGAACTGCTGGGGCATGCAGGCAGTCTGAAATGCTAGAGATGGCCATGGAGTGTCACCTTCCACCAGCCTCCCACCCGCTCTAAGCAGCCCTCCTTGTCATTCTGATAACATGACTCTTGGAATATAGATAATATTGATTCAGGGCGGGATGCATTAGTGCCCTGGTGTGCTGGGCTTCAGGACTCGAGAGCAGCCAGCAAAGATCCCTACATACTGGCCTTATGCCTGTTCCATGTCGGCCGCGCCTCACCCCACACTCCCTGCTGTCCATCACCCATCACAGGAGGGTTGCTGGCAGTGTCGGGTGCTCCCTTGCTCTCAGTCCTGCCATGTTATTTCTAATAGCAGCCCTCCTAGGACCTGCCCTTGTGCGTTCCCCTGCAGGGAAACCAGGGTTGGCTAACGTGTAACTAATCTGTGTGAGAGAGAGACTGGCCAGCCGGCCAAAGGCTATGCGGACAGGCACTGCAGGGAAACTGCACAACCTTCTGAAATGTACAGCCAAAGTGGAAAATTTTGAGTGCCTCGCTCTCCCCACCCCCCACTCTGGGCTAGTGTTTGCGCACTCGTGGATCTGTTTTCTCAGGCTTCTGCCAGGTGATTTATCATGGCGAAAGCAAGGCCAAGGCCAGGAGTAACAAACCCTGAAATACTTCTCAGACAGCCTTTCTGGCAGGGTGGTGAGAGTGCATTTCAATAGTAGCCTGTTCTTTCTCTCCCTGTTAAGGGTGATTCTGGCCCAGAGCCCTGGAAAGGAGGGAAACATTCCATACTTTTTTGAACTGCAGGATGTGTTTTTCCTCTCTGACAAATGCATGTATTTTTCAAGACCACGTTTTGTGGGCAGCTGAAACAGAAAAAGGCTCTTCCCTCCCCCCTACCCCCGAACAAGCCCTGCCTGGCTTCCAGGTTCCCTTCCCCCTTCCTTGGCTTTTGCTCTTCTCCCACATTTTCAGCTCCAAATTCCCATGTTGGAGCTGTCTCTTCCTAAGTCACCCTCACTTCTTTTATTGCTACCCTGAATGTCTGCACTGCCCAGCTTCTGAGGACAATACCAGGAAGAAAGCAGCCCTTGTGTCCCCCTTCCAACCGGTCCCTGCTGCTTTCCTCCTCCTGTACCCCCTTCCCTGAAACCAGAGTGTAGTACAACTCAGAGCTTCCTGAGCCCGGCCTCCTGAACCCAAAGCCTCCATCCTGGAGCTTCATGTTGGTTGACAGAAGGGGGTAATGGTTGCCTGCCTGCCAGAAGAGCTTGTGCT